ACAAGTACTACATGTACTACAAGTACTACATGTACTACAAGTACTACAAGTACTACATGTACTACAAGTACTACAAGTACTACAAGTACTACAAGTACTACAAGTACTACAAGTACTACAAGTACTACAAGTACTACAAGTACTACAAGTACTACAAGTACTACAAGTACTACAAGTACTACAAGTACTACAAGTACTACACGTACTACAAGTACTACAAGTACTACACGTACTACAAGTACTACAAGTACTACAAGTACTACAAGTACTACAAGTACTACAAGTACTACAAGTACTACAAGTACTACAAGTACTACATGTACTACAAGTACTACAAGTACTACAAGTACTACAAATACCACAACTTCATCGGCAAAATTACTTTACTTCGTGTGATCCCCACCATGACATTTATACATTTTTCTTACTGGCAAATCTTCTGGCATTCTATCTGACATATCTTCTGACATTCTATTTGACATTCTATTTGACATTCTATCTGGCATATCTTCTGGCATATGATCTGGCATATCTTCTGGCATATCTTCTGGCATTCTATCTGGCAAATCTTCTGGCATTCTATCTGGCATATCTTCTGGCACTCTATCTGACATATCTTCTGGCATTCTATCTGGCATATCTTCTGGCATATACTCTGACATATCTTCTGGCATTCTATCTGACATATCTTCTGGCATATATTCTGACATATCTTCTGGCATATCTTCTGGCATATCTTCTGGAATATCTTCTGACATATCTATCTGGCATATCTTCTGGCATATTTTCTGGCATTCTATCTGGCAAATCTTCTGGCATTCTATCTGGCATTCTATCTGGCATATCTTATGGCATATTATCTGGCATTCTATCTAGCATATCTTCTGGCATATCTTCTGACATTCTTTCTGACATTCTTTCTAACTTTCTTCTGCACATTCTTTGTCCCATATCTTCCTACATGAGGTCCGGCAGGGAACACTTGGCATGGATCCTCGCGGTTGAGGTCCGGCAGGAAACACTGGGCGTGGATGGTCGTTGGTGGGCGTGGATGGTCGTGGTTGAGGTCCGGCAGGGAACACTGGGCCCCGGCAGGGAACACTACTCGTGGTTGAGGTCCGGCAGGGAACACTGGGCGTGGATGGTCGTGGTTGAGGTCCGGCAGGGAACACTGGGCGTGGATGGTCGTGGTTGAGGTCCGGCAGAGAACACTGTGGATCGCGGGTCGCAGTTGAGCAAGGACGACGAGGACGACGAGGACGACGAGGACGACGAGGAGGACGAGGAGGAGGAGGAGAGGAGGACGAGGCAGGAGGAGGCGGAGGAGGAGGAGAAGGAGGAGGAGGAGAAGGAGGAGAAGGAGGAGGAGGAGGAGGAGGCAACTGACATAAAATCTAACAACCCTCACCTGGCAGGTGGGGAAAAAACAATAGTAATTAGATTTCAATTGTAGCCAATTGAAATCCTTACTTAATCGAGGATATGTTTTTCTTTTGGGAAGATTTTTTTTGCTTTTCTACTTTAAAGAGAGTCCAGATATAGTTTAGGGGAGGGGGGGGGGAGGGGGGGGGGCCACACACTAATCAGGAACCAACATTACATTTTTCCACGCTGCATGGTGGGGTGCACCTCTTGAGAAACGCGATTGAAGCCGTTTGAGAGGCTTGCTTAGCCACACATGCAAAAGCAATGCTGACGGACACCACTCGAAACGCCAAAACACCACCTAATTCCGAACCAAAACCGTATTCAAAGCTCACCAGAAAAACTCCCTAACGTGTCGTCTGAATCCCTAGCCTTCGCTACTGGCTATGTGCAGTTCTACCCTATAGAATAGAAGTGGTAGTAGTCCGAAACCATTCCTTCTGTTCAAAAGGCACCTCCCGGATGGGAAAACACCATGGCAGCGAAGGACGGAAAAGCATCAGAATTGCGTCCAAAAACTCCCTAATGTAACTTCTGAAACCCACAGAAAAGGAAGATTTTAGTTACTTTTTCCTCTTGTTTCCTCCTGCTACTGTTGCTGCTCCTGCTCCTGCGACTCCTTCTGTTCAAAAGGCACCCCCCGGATGGGAAAACACCATGGCAGCGAAGGACGGAAAAGCATCAGAATTGCGCCCAAAAACTCCCTAATGTAACTTCTGAAACCCACAGAAAAGGAGGATTTTAGTTACTTTTTCCTCTTGTTTCCTCCTGCTGCTGCTGCTCCTGCTGCTCCTGCTCCTGCGACTCCTTCTGTTCAAAAGGCTCCTGCTGCTGCTGCTGCTGCTCCTGCTCCTGCGACTCCTTCTGTTCAAAAGGCACCTCCCGGATGGGAAAACACCATGGCAGCGAAGGACGAAAAAGCATCAAAATTGCGCCCGAACACTCCCTAATGTAACTTCTGAAACCCATAGAAAAAGATGATTTTAGCTACAAACTCCTTAATGTAACTTCTGAAACCCATAGAAAAGGATGCTTTTAACTACTTTTTCCTCCTGTTTCCTCCTGCTGCTGTTGCTGCTCCTGCGATTCCTTCTGTTCAAAAGGTACCTCCCGGATCCGGATGGGAAAACATCATGGCAGCGAAGGACGGAAGAGCATCAAAATTGCTTTCAAAAACTCCCTTATGTAACTTCTGAAACCTATAATAAACGATGATTTTAGCTACTTTTTTCTAACTTCTGAAACCTAGAGAAAAGGATGATTTTAGCACTTTTTCCTCCTGTTTCCTCCTGCTGCTGCTGCTGCAAAAGGCACCTCCCGGATGGGAAAACACCATGGCAGCAAAGGACGGAAAAGCAGCAAAACTGCGCCCAAAAACTCCCTAATGTAACTTCTGAAATCATAGAAAAAGATCATTTTTAGCTACAAACTCCTTAATGTAACTTCTGAAACCCATAGAAAAGGATGCTTTTAACTACTTTCTCCTCCTGTTTCCTCCTGCTGCTGTTGCTGCTCCTGCTCCTGCGATTCCTTCTGTTCAAAAGGCACCTCCCGGATGGGAAAACACCATGGCAGCGAAGGGCGGAAAAGCATCAGAATTACACCCAAAAACTCCCTAATGTAACTTCTGAAACTTACAGAAAACGAAGATTTTAACTACTTTTTCCTCCTGTTTCCTCCTGCTGCTGTTGCTGCTCCTGCTCCTGCGATTCCTTCTGTTCAAAAGGCACCTCCCGGATGGGAAAACACCATGTCAGCGAAGGACGGAAAAGCATCAGAATTGCACCCAAAAACTCCCTAATGAACCCTGAAACCCACAGAAAAGGAAGATTTTAGTTACTTTTTCCTCTTGTTTCCTCCTGCTGCTGCTGCTGCTCCTGCTCCTGCGACTCCTTCTGTTCAAAAGGCACCTCCCGGATGGGAAAACACCATGGCAGCGAAGGACGGAAAAGCATCAGAATTGCGCCCAAAAACTCCCTAATGTAACTTCTGAAACCCACAGAAAAGGAGGATTTTAGTTAGTTTTTCCTCTTCTTTCTTCTTGCTGCTGCTGCTGCTGCTCCTGCTCCTGCAACTCCTTCTGTTCAAAAGGCTCCTGCTGCTGCTGCTGCGCCTGCTCCTGCGACTCCTTCTGTTCAAAAGGCACCTCCCGGATGGGAAAACACCATGGCAGCGAAGGACGAAAAAACATCAAAATTGTGCCCGAACACTCCCTAATGTAACTTCTGAAACCCACAGAAAAAGATGATTTTTAGCTACAAACTCCTTAATGTAACTTCTAAAACCCATAGAAAAGGATGTTTTTAACTACTTTTTCCTCCTGTTTCCTCCTGCTGCTGTTGCTGCTCCTGCTCCTGCGATTCCTTCTGTTCAAAAAACACCTCCCAGATGGGAAAGCACCATGGCAGCGAAGGACGGAAAAGCATCAGAATTGCGCCTAAAAACTCCCTAATGTAACTTCTGAAACCCACAGAAAACGAAGATTTTAGCTACTTTTTCCTTCTGTTTCCTCCTGCTGCTGCTGCTCCTGCTCCTGCGACTCCTTCTGTTCAAAAGAGGACGGAAAAACATCAAAATTGCGCCCAAAAACTCCCTAATGTAACTTCTGAAACCGACAGAAAAAATGATTTTAGCTACAAACTCCTTAATGTAACTTCTGAAACCCACAGAAAAGGATGATTATAGCTACTTTTTCTTTCTGTTTCCACCTAATTTCGAGCCGAAACTGTATGCAAAGCTCACCAGAAAAACTCCCTAACGTGTCGTCTGAATCTTTAGAAAATACATTTTTCCACGCTGCATGGTGGGGTGCACCTCTTGAGAAACGCGTTTGAAGCCGTTTGAGAGGCTTGCTTAGCCACACATGCAAAAGCAATGCTGACGGACACCACTCGAAACGCCAAAACACCACCTAATTTCGAACCAAAACCGTATTCAAAGCTCACCAGAAAAACTCCCTAACGTGTCGTCTGAATCCCTAGCCTTCGCTACTGGCTATGTGCAGTCCTACCCTATAGAATAGAAGTGGTAGTAGTCCGAAACATGGCTATGTGCAGTTCTACCCTATAGAATAGAAGTGGTAGTAGTCCGAAACAAGGGTCAAAAGTATTATTCCCTGGCGCGCTCCCCCTTGCGTCTGCCGGGGTCGGCGGATTTCCAAGTCTTGTACTTTTCTTGCTTCTGACAAATGTTGTCCACACCCTACAATTTGCATTTTCACATGGCCCGAGGCGTTGTCTGAACGACTGAGGACCGGTGACCTTTTGCACCGACAAGTCACTGGGGATGGGGCTCCACATCAAGGAAGGGCAAGAGATGAGACGCTGGAACCCGATTTTCTCGGACCTGGATCAGGACCTGGATCAGCCCCGGCAGCCGGGAGAATATCCTCCCTGGTTCAAGCACTACAAAGAGGCCGCAAAAAAAACCAAGCACGGACTCCTCATTTTGCAGTTGACGGATTCATATTTGAAGCATCTCAGCTCAGTTGGACGGATTTTACTGTGCTCTTTGTTGGAGTAGGGAGTAAGTACTTGTGATGTGAAAGGATTCGAATGTGTTTGATGTTGTTTGCTGACTTGTTGAGGTCCAAAGCCTGCCTGTGGGAGTTTGGATACGTGAGAAAACCCGAGCTTGTGCACGTCTATGTGCCCAGTGGCGACAAGTCACCAGGCAGAATCGTCAAATGGGAGGAGCTCATGGAAGATGCGGAGCTTTGCAAGCAACTCTTCGGAGAGGCTTTGGGCCGCACGTTCCAGGCGAACTTGGATGCAGAAGATCCCACAATGCAAGGCACCTTCACGCAACTTGAGAAGATGGCCGAGACTGCAGAGGAACAGGAACACCAGGCGTGGTGCGAGCTGCCTTTTCGACAGCTGGCTTACAACTTTGCCGCGAACACTTTCGGGGAGGAAAGTGTAACCACCATGCCGAGCGCAGACAATCTGATTGCCGTCTTCAATCAAACTGGATTTGCAGCCAAAGCCGAACAAATTGGAAAGGATTTGTTGGAGAGAAAGGAAAATCAATTTGGCAAAGATCACTTTTTCGTAGCCACAACTTTGGCACTTCTGGGCAGTGCGCATGGAGATCTGGGCAACTACAGCCAGCAGAAGGACCTGCTCGAGCGTGCCCTGAGAATCCTGGAGCAGCGCTACGGGAAAGATCACCCCGAAGTAGCACTGACTTTGGCAAGTTTGGGCAATGCTCATGGAGATCTGGGCAACTACAGCCAGCAAAAGGACCTGTTCGAGCGTGCCCTGCGAATCAAGGAGCAGCACTACGGGAAAGAACATCCCGAAGTAGCCAAGACTCTGACAAATCTGAGCAATGCGCATGGATACCTGGGCTACTACAGCCAGCAGAAGGACCTCCTCGAGCATGCCCTGAGAATCAAGGAGCAGCACTACGGGAAAGAACATCCCGAAGTAGCAGTGACTTTGACAAATCTGGGCAATGCGCATGGAAGCCTGGGTGACTACAGCCAGCAGAAGGACCTGCTCGAACGTGCCCTGAGAATCAAGGAGCAGCACTTCGGGAAAGAACATCCAGAAGTGGCGATTACTGTGTACAATCTCGGCGAAGCTCATGACGATCTGGGAGATCTTCGCCGAGCAAAGGAGTTGGTGGAGCGTGCTTTCAAGATCTTTGTGCATCATGGCAGCCCCTATGCAGAGCGAGCTCAGCGTCGCCTGGCACAGATGGAGGTGAAGATGATGCCCTCAGTGAGGCCCTCAGTGCCGAGGGGCTTCGTGGAAGCCGTCCGAAGATCCACCCAGGAGCCACAACCGGGGAAACGGGCGGAATCTTTAAGGCAGGGGAGATCTCAAACAGGTCAGGCAACCCTTAAGTGTGAACAACCTGAAACGGGTGGAATATATTAATATATAGACGTTCTTCTGCTGAATCTTGCCAATACAGATTGTCTATCTCTCTCTCTCTCCCTCTTTGGTTTTGACATGGATACTTTTTGCGTAGAGAATGGGCATATCTGTTTTTTGATTCCAAACGCTTCCAGAGGTCAGAGATGGTTCCAGACCTATATTTCCTCCCTTTTCCTCTTTTTTCTTCTCCTCTCCTCTGATCTCCTTTCAGTCTTGCAACAAGTCAGTTTCAGTAAATGTATGCAAATGTGCAAAGCAACAAATCCAAATCCTTTGATGAATGCTACCTGTTTGGCTGCTCAATGACCCACCAGCCGCCATGAAAGCACTCTGCAACTTCAAAATGCATAGCTTGGTGCTTCATTTGGCATGTTTTTTTGTGGGCAGCTCTGGAGATGATTGCGCAGAGTCAAATATGCAAACTGGCCAGGACGGCGAAGATTTGCAGAAAGCCTTGGCTCTTTCGTTAGAAACCGTGGAGGACTGACGTCTGCAGAGTCGAACATGCACAGTGGCCAGGACGACGAAGATTGGCAGAAAGCCTTGGCTTTTCGGTTGATCGCTATACGTCTGGGTGGAAGATTTCAATCGGGTGAAGCCAGGCAGTCGTGAAGTGTGAACAATCCAAAAAGTAATAAGTTCGGTTTGACGTTCCTCTGCTGAGTCTTGCTGATACCGACTGTCTCTCTCTCTCTCTCTCTCCCTCTCCCTCCCCGATTCGATTTTTCAGACAGAGACTTTTGTGTTTTTGTTTTGCGTAAGTAATGGACACATTTGCATTGTCTTGTGGTAAATCTTTGCACCGCATGCGGCGTTGCGTCTACAACATTTGAAGCGTGTTCATGTAAGGGGCCACTTCAGAACGCTTTCAGAGGCCAGGGATGTTTCCACATCCTCTCCTCTTCTCTTCTCTCCTTTCAGTCTTGCAGCACTAGCTGTGCACCAGCACTACTCAACGATCCACCAGCGGAAATGAAAGCACTCTGCAAATCTCTGCAATATCTCACAGCGCACAGTTTGGCACTTCATTTGGCATGTCTATAATTAAAAAATATATAGTAAAACAAAACTTTATTGTGTGCAGCTCTGGAGATGATTGCTCAGAGTCAAACATGCAAAGCGGCAAGGACAACGAAGATTTGCAGAAAGCTTTGGCTCTTTCGGAACCACTGGAGGACCGCACTGGCGCAGAGTTGGGCTCACTTCTGACATGTTGCAAGAAAGGTTTCCGCCATGAAAGCGCGCAATTCACTTTCCTTAGGAGTTGCCGGCCCCAGGCCACTTGCATATAGTTTCCCACCTTTCTGCCTCGCTTGGGGACACTTCAACCATCTTAACCCCTTTGGAGCATTCTGGATTTTGGAGTGTCTTGAAGGGTTTTTTTAAGATTCTTCCAGCACTGGGGCGCTGCATTATTTTGGTTCCACATGCTGAGCACGTGAGAGAGCGGATGCAAGCCTTACTATGGGACTCTAGGATATATTCTCTATTATTCTCCATTCTTAAGCAAGATCCTCTTTTCTCGGCTATACAGCCTGATACAGGAGCATATGCTTAAAACACTTTGACATGATGAATCTCGACAGTTCTGGCTGTGGAAATCACCAGTTTGGATGCGCCTTGTTTTCCCATCCTTTGGCAACTGGGGCGACCGGTTAACCGCGCCTTTGAACTGAACGCCCACTCAATATCTCTAAGCAAAACCCATGCACCCATCCGCCTAGCCACTGCAGAACCATTTCAGAGTCTTGATTTGGATCACATCATCCTGATGATCGAATTGCGCACAGTTCCGTTGTTGGGGGAAGATATGCGACACATACCAGACTTCAAATTTGGTTGAGAGATGCAGGATGTTGAAGATCCAGAACTTCGAGAAGATCTGGCACTTTCCGTGTCGCCGCTGCACGCAGGTGCAGGCTGCAGTGTGAACCCTGATTGGGTTTGAAGATCGAAGTGCAACCGACTTCACTTGACGGTGGTGGAAGTGATCTCTTAGTTTGAGCTGTTGTGTTCTGTTGTGACTCTCGTGCTAGTCCACTAGTCCACTCTTGGGTTTGTTCCATTTGTTTCGGAGAATTGGTTTTCTGGCTGAATTTTGAGTAAAAACCAACGGTTGATTGAGAAGACCACGGTCAATTGCAGCTGATGGCTTTGCACAGACAATTTTGTGGGGAGGTGTTCAACTTTACGTGACAGACTTTGTGTCCGGTCCAACATGCAGCCAGGCTCCTAGAAGGGCTCCACTCTGAGGCCCGTTTTCAGTGCCTATCTTAGCTGTGCCAGGAAGCGCACAACTTGTCACATTCAATCGGCCAATTTGGGCCATTTCCAGATCTCAAAGGGATCTTGGATGATCTTGGAAAAGATCAGCACCTGCAACAGCATCCTGCCAGACAATTTAGAGAACCGGATGAAAGAATGATGGGTTCTGTCGACCTTCCTGAGAGTGCAGCAAAGTTTGCAGATGCTTGCAACAGATTCAGTAGCGATTTGGATGTCTCGGGGCTGTGAGCCAAGTTCAGTACTGGTTTTTCCCGCAGTCTTCCGAGACACTGGCGTTTTTTTGGCATAGTTGACCCTCTCTGGGTCAACGTTCAACGACCTTTCGGGGTCGCAGCCACTCGATTGTGGCCAGGTGGCATGAGGTTTTGGGATTGTGCCAGAAAAGTCATACGTCATACGCCCTGAGGTGTAAATGTCACTCCTCCAGCTGTGCCACCTCGCCAAAGCTGTAGTTGTTAGGTCTCTCCCAGACCAAGGGGCTGGGAAGAGTCAGATTCACAGTGATTCTGCAGACATTTTGCCTGAAAAGGCGCCTGAACCCATGAGTTATAATTCAAGATAATACTTTCAGTCCAAATGGTGGATGAACATCTCAGTGAGAACCATGCCAGACATTGCCCAAAAATTTCGCAGTGCTCATTGGGCTTCAAAAATCAACCCCTGCCATTTCTGAAGTTAATCTACCGGTTCCACTTGTTCCTTAAACCATCTGAACCCAAACAAACCTCGTGATTTGGCCATTTTGCACAGAGCTAGGTGCATCCGCAGCATTGGCTGTCCAATCGTGTGACGGGTCGGTGTCGAGTCGCAGTTCAGTTGCTTCTCAGAGTGTCTTGGCAAACTCCAAGCTGTTGAGCTTTGGGATCGGTTTTCTTAAGCTTTGAACATCGGACGGTGTAATTTGACCTCTGAAGATAAAATTGTACACGACAAAATGATATAGTATATAATTATAACATGAACTTAACTTACAGGCAAAATATGACAAAATCATGCACAATAGGCACATTACCTGGCGCTTTGGTGCAGAGTTGCAGCCTGTTTGCCGAGAACACGATGTTGAGCTGAGCCCGATCATCCTTGAACTTGCAAGTCATGACGTTTGGAATCTGTGAGTCCCCAAAAGGCAGTGTTCTTGTTCTTGTTAAATTGCTGTTTTGGGCGTGTTTAGGTGTGAAAATCATGCGTTTTGCTGTCCTGTCCATCAAAAAACCCTCCTCAACTCCTCAACTCATGCCCATGTCAGGTCCATTTTCATCCATTTGGTAAAAGGAAACCACCACAGCTGTGATTCCCAAAATCTATGGAGCTAAAATGTCACCTTTAAACGAAACCTACCCCTTGCTGCATTGCTTCCATTTTCGTATTGCAAAACCTGATCAGGATGTTTGTGAATCTGAAGCTGAATGATGATGAAAAAGAGTTCAACTAAGCCACAGATTGGGCCCAGTTGTTTTTCAAATCTGAAGTAAGCCGTAAACCCTCCATTTTTTCTGCAACCAACATGTTTTTTCCCCACCAAAATCACATGGAAATCATGGAAGTTCCTGATACTCCGTCCCGCTGAGGATGTCCGAAAAAGAGCTCACCAAGGGCGCCAAGAGGATCCTGGACGATACCGAAGAGTCCGGGACCTGGAGATGGGGTGACTTCACCATATTTCACCATATTTCACATATTTCACTATTAAGTGCCACACATCTAGAGATTTCACATCAAACATGGGGGAATTCACCATGAAGAATGGGTTTCGACACTTGTAGTTGATAGTTGGGACTTCAGTCGAGCTTAGTATTTCTTCCCAATGGATGGTTCAACTAGTTGGGTTGAAAGCAGCCACAAACTCAACAAGTTTTAGCAGCGGACACGGGGGTTGGACCAGCCAAGATGGGGATACTTCGTGATGCTAAGAATTGGGAACAACACCTTGAAGAATTTGGCTTTAAGCAGCTGAAGACTCTTATGATCATTGTATGAATTGGGAGCTAGGGATGTGGGTGTCACTAGGTGTTTTAGCTACGGCCACATGACCACACTGATTAGTAGGGGCTGATTAAATGCGACCTGCATCAACCATCAACAGCCACCCAGAGCCAGAATCTTTCATGGTATTCAGGATCTAATTCTGACTACCAACCATTTCATCATCATGTCAGTGATCTGAATAGCTGACAATGCCAGGAACACTTGCGGCTTCGCATCCTTCTTCATTTTGGATCAAGATGGTCCTGCCGGCCAGTTGAGACCGCCATTTAAATATATTTAGCGAAGAATTGCTCAGATGTTTACTGCTGTAACCCGTGAATCTGAAGCCATCATTTGCAAGCTTTGTTTAAACCCAAGATATACCTTCAGATATCATTTTCATACCTTCATACCTTCAGTAATTCATCATCATTTCTCAGGCGGGACACCCCACTGCGATCTAAGTCCCATGGCCGCTCCCGCAGGCTATGGCAAGAAGACCAAGGGATCCAATGTGGAGGTCGTTGGCTCTGTCCCTGCCATGCCAAATTTAGCTCTTCCAACAGCAAAGGTAAACCAGCGGAAAACTCTGGTTCATGTGACTTGAGCTTCTTTGAATATATAGATATGATTTATAATTAGTCTACCCCCCAAATCCTATGGTTTATCATCATCATGCGTCCTATTCAACGGCCATGCCATATGATTATGATATAATCCCCATTTTCAGATACACCCGACTTCTCCCTGAAAAACTTCTCTGCGGAAACGAAAAAAAAGCCAGGTGCCCTGGCATTTGGTGAGCTCCGAAGGTTGGACGGCATGGACGGCATCACGGTGTGGTGGACGTTCCACCAGGACGCCATTGAACCCATTTGGTTGACGTCAAACATATCCATAAAACGATTAGAAATGTCAATGGGCATCTTGAAGGTGTAGGTTTTATCAAACCGTTTCTTGTGGAGATCCTAGACGTGATTGATTCCGGGATTGCCTTGTGTAATCTACCTGGAAAGTTCGAATTGAAGGCGATATTGTTTTGCCAAAGCTTAGTTTATAATCGGTCGGACAGTGCCGAGCTAACGTTGAGCGTGCTTTAATCCGTAGTCTTGTGGCGGTACTAGTCCCATTTCGTTGGGCACATCTCGTTCACTGTGCCCCTTGGGCCTAGCTTGTCGACGAGGCGATGAGATTGTCATGCAGGCCGTGGACATGTCCGGGGATCAATGGAGCATGAGTTGAGCGAAATGTGGTGAGATCGAAGCTAAAATGTAGCGAATTTTGTGTGGGGATTGCGCAAAGTATTGTACAGTGGTCCTTACATCTCTCCACAGTTTGGGTAGCTTTGCGCATCACCAAGATCTGGATTCCGGGAACTCAAAGCATTCCAGGCTGAGTTGCCGGCGAATCCGATCTTCTACCTTCAGGCCTGGATTACTTGGCGTGATAACTCTGTGGCTTTCAGGTGGTTTTCTCTCCGATTTTCAGGTGTTCTTTTGTTGATAATATAACCAACAATAAATGAGGATGTAACCTATGCAACTGGCTGGCGGCTTTAAATTTGTTTTGCAATGGATGACGGTCCCAAATGATTCGTATTTGTGGGATAGGTGGCTCAACAGCCCACCATGCATTTTGTGTTGACGTTCTTTTGAGGGAAAACGCTAACCAAAAAAAAGCGGACACATAATGCCAGGAACAGCGGAACAGCCTATGTTCTTTTGTGGTCAAGATTCCACGAATTGTTTTGATACTAATAAAATGAATGCTGGAAAACCATCACGTTTATCAAAACCAGTGGGTCCATGGGGATGATACACCAGGAACCCCTGTGGTGCGATGGACTAGTTTCAGGGAAACCTAGGACCTAGGAGGCCTGTACCCCCACAGAAGTGATTTTTGAGTCCCAGTTTCCACCCATCCATATCACTATAAGCCAACAACTCCACCAGAGTCACAGGTGTCGAATGAGGAGGGCAACTACTTCTGGAGTCCTGGTGCTCAGAGTTCCTTTGCTTCTGGAACTTATGAAATGCCCGCAAGTCGTAGCCTCCCAATTTCACTGGGTTGTGGAGTGCATAGTTTGCCTAAAATTGGAATGGCTGATTTTGTTCGGGAAAGATGTAGGCTAGGCTATATCCATACATATCCATACCATCCGTAAATTTTCAGGCCAGGCACTCTATGTCCACAATTTCACCTCAAACGAATGGTGAATTTGAGCCATCCCAAAGTTTTGGATCCCAGATTCATCCGGCAAACTCCTTTGATTTCTTTGGATACCCTTTGGCAATTTAAGAGAGCCACGAAAGATCACCTATTCAGTTCGATGAGAATCCCATTCAAGTCGTCATTTTCATGTTTTTGTCCAAATATTCGTTAAAAGTTGTGTATATATGTATCCATTTATCCATTTATCCACTAAAAGTTGGGCTGATTCCGCAACAGTTTCCCTTCTATCCATGACAAGTTTAGATTTCCATGGATTTTCCTATATATCCATCTAACAAATTGCAAGGCGGTGCCCGAAAGTGATTAAGTCTGTTTATGATTCGGTACACGTTTGGGTCTATGGGGGGATAGTGTTTATTAATTGTCCAGTTATGTACATTAGATAAACTATGATTATATCTATAGTTATATCTATAGATGTATCATATCTATCTACTGATATAAACCATATATCCATGTGTATTTCTGTATTTCTATAACTTGGGAGACTTGGGAGCAACACATTGTACTCTAAAGAGCAACATCCGAACATCCAAGATATCCCAAGGCCAGTGGTGGCTGGCCGACTCCAAGCGCTCCAAGACCAATGCCATTTGTGACTCAATCCCCAAGGCGCGATGGGCGCGGGGTTTCGGCTGATGGCTGGTGACTGAACCGTTTCGGTTTAATGGTGGTCTTAGGCTGGTTTAATGGACAAATGATGGGGATATCATGGGAGAAGTCACAATTGAATAATTGAATAATTGGTGATTTAACCATGTTTAATTGGATGTAATGGGATATTATAACTCGATCAAAAACCATTAGACATGGAGAATTTATTGATTGTTGAGACATGTTGGTTGGGAATTAAGATAGAGGAATTTGGGTGGTAACATCCCCGGACAATCCTTTTTGGAAGCTGGACTGTAGCGCTGGTGATGTGTCTTGTTGGCACTGACCGGTGTTTCGATCAAGAAAATTTGAAATTATACCCACAAAAGAAGGTGGTTCTAGGGAAACCAACGAGTGACTGGGATTTTGATCAGAACAACTAGAAATTTGTTTTGCACCCAAAAAAGGTGGTAAAAAGGTGGTCAAAAAAAAAAAACTGAGATTTCACATGGAAACTTAGGTTTTGTCCCAAAAAATCATGTTGTCGTAACAAAGTTCCATCCTTCAAGCTTCAAGAATTTGCGAACCAGCGTTCAAAGGGATGATATACCCTAAACTATGTCCAACACATATAGTATGAACTTTGAGCAAAGCCATGATGAAATGTCTAGTGAATAGGTAATTAAATAAGTGGTCGATCCGTTTTAAAAATCTAAACGATTAAGTGGGAACCAGAGACAAATGGGTCGCATTATTCAATGGGTTTTGCTGGTGAAGCGGCGACCTATTTGCTCCAGGATTGCCGTTTGATTCACAAGGCCCTGGACGGCGACAAGGTGGAGTTCACGTGTGAGGCGAGGATCTAGGATTTTGTTTGCCGAGATCGCAAGAAAATGAAAGAACAACATGCAGAAAGGTGTATCTCAGCAAGATGATACGGTAAAACATGAGAGGTTGCGAATTGAGGTTTATGATTTGGCTGCAGAACATTGAGGTGTTACAGGTACGCTACCTATCAAGTTTGGGTTCATAGGGATGGCAAGCCAAATCATCCAACCCAAAATCTACCCCTGTTGGACGCAGTGTTGAATATTAGTGATTTACATGATCAAAATCTATTTTTTGAAGTCAGTCAAGAGAGCCAACTCCTGTCAATGGGTTATGGTTGGTCATCAACGTCTGCAAGTGAAACAAGACTGCAAATCTTCCTGTGAGTTGGTTCAGATATCTTCAGACGGATTGACTCTTCAAAAATCCCATCATGAATCATGTATGGAATCTATGGAAAAAAAACATCTAAGACTTACCCTCTGGTAATTTAACATAGCTATTGAACATGGCCATTGAAATAGTGAGTTTTCCCATTAAAAATGGTGATTTTCCATAGTTTTTTGTATGTTTACCAGGGTGTACCTATGACCTAAAGATGGTACCAACAACCTGAAGCATCGCAGCGCAGCATGCAGAGCGGCTTCGAACCGCTCCCCCGAACTCCCGAGCTCCGCGTGTCGCGCGTGGGCCACCGGGATGTGAAACTGCCGTTGCTGCTGGATGAAGCCGTGGAAGCGTTGATGCACTCGGGAGGCAGGAAACTGGGAAACTGGGAAAGGAAGCTGTGGTTAAAAATTGCAAAAGAGGGCTGGGTTGGATGATTTTACTTTTGAAGTTTGGGTTTGCAGAGGTTTGTTTTTGGTGGGTAAAGCCTTGGCGAACATCACTGGAAACTCATCAGTTGTGTGCCTGGAATCGTGGGTCCGCCCTGTCGGTTCCGGGGAACACATCACATCATGATGTGATTTCACGTCCGTTGCGAGAAATTGAGTGGAAATTGGCCATCAATTTCAAGAACTCCAAACAACAAAAGTATCACACATAGCAACTCATGTATTATGGTCATGTAGGTTCCAGTTTCAAATATCAGAAAACATCCCAATATTTCCACTAGTCACTAGTCCACCAAATCTCATTGATTTCGATGTTTCCTGCATTTCCCCATCCATTCCCAGGCTCCGGTGCGGTCTACGTGGACGGCTCCCTGGGCCACGGCGGCCACAGCGCAGAGATCCTGCGGCGCTTGGATCACCGGGGGCGGCTGCTGGCCTTCGACGTGGCGTCGCATGTTGGGACGAGGATGGCGGAGGATGAGAGGATGGAATTTTTCCCGGGAAAATGTCAGGAATCTTGGGATTGAAATGATTGAAGTGATTGAAATAATTGGAGATGTAGTGATTGGCTATATTGTTTGGTTATCTTATCTTGGTGGAAGATGATGATAGTTGATTTGATTGATTTGGATGATTGACTGGTTGGTTGATTGGTTGATGTTGTGATTTGTGATGGTGGATGTGACCGATCTGTAGTCGTATCTTCTGGCGGCTGACAGATAGTGTTTTCTTCGTAGCTCGGTGGCTGATCAGTAAGTGGCTTGTCCCCCCATCTTTTCGTGGGACAACTGGATTTGGAATATCGGAATACTTACAAGCTAGGGATAGCTGGGGCTACTTAATAGCCACCTGCAGACTTGCAACATCCATTTCATGGAAGACATGCCAATTCCTTTTGAAATGCAATGGCCCATCTTGCGATCTCGCATAGGTTGTTTATACACCATCAGAATGATCACTCAAACTCAAATTCTCACTCATTGCTTGGACGCTGGCTGGAGGGATTACAAGCCTTGTGAAAAGTCAGGAAATGAGAGATGTGCTTCGTGCAAAAGGGCTTGTTCCTGCTGGAGTTTTACTGGATTTGGGCGTGCAGATGACAGCTGCAGAGGACCGACAACGGTCCAAAAATCAGGTGGACGGAGAGAATTGCCCAAGTCGTAAGGATGGACCTCCTTCTACTTTAGGATCTTTAAGCAATACTTCAGTCCCCCCATATATCCCCATATAAAACACCCTTCTAACCAGTCCCAAATAGGGGGAAGGAATTCTCTGCCAACCTGGAGGAGAAAGAGCGTGGGCTGTCCTATTACGAAGCAGCGCCACTGGATGGACGATTGGATCGTTCCAAGGGCATCCCTGCCAGTCTGTGGCTGCAGCAAGTGCCTCGGCCTTCAGTAGCTGCAGTCTGTTGTGAAATCTATCCCTGGATGAATCCCAATCGACAGATGACAGGAACTCGGCTGTTCCCGAAATTGCTGCCGCAAAACAAAAACAAGGTTTCCCTGCTTGTAAATGCTGTGATAACGGACTAAGAAACTGCTAGATACGTGAGGTTTTTTATACCACCAGTTTGGCCCAAAACACTTTTGTCATTTTTTTACAAGTCAATTTCTTACGAATGAGATGCAGCAAAATGTGGAAGGGACCTCAGATATACTGATATACTGTATGATATACTCTTGGTTTCCGCCTATGATCAGCAATTGGCATTCATGAAGGCCCAAAATATTACCATTGGCTCTATTGTGGTTCTATAAAGGTAGATAGCAGCTTAAACTTGTCCTGCAGTCAAACTTCGACCGACTCACTATGGGTTTCCCTTTAACATCACCAGTTTTGGATGGTTTTGGAATCATTATGTGGGTTTCTGCCAGTCTTGGTTTCTCCATGTTTCCAAACATCAAGCACAAAAATATACCATTAGTTTACACAATCAACAAAATTGTGTCACACTTGAAAATCAATTTGTATTATTGGAATCCACAAACTATTGGCTTAATTCAACATTCATCAACATTAGTCAACATAGTCAACTTTAACCAACATTAGTCAAGATTAATCAACATTAGTCAACATTGATGATTTTGCTTAAAAATCAACTTCACATTTTGGAGATGACCTGTTGTGTTGCTTTGTCTTGTTTTGTTTATCTTGAACGATTTGATTATACCCCAAGCCGCTGCAAAATTTGGGCATAAACTGTCTAGGTTTCCCAGTTGAAATTCAATAATTGTCATTGGCTCACCATGAACCACCATTAATCAACACTAATCGCCATTTACCAATCATAAATCAGCACTAATTGCCATTTACCAACCATAAAATGGTCACCATCAAATGGTCACCATTTTGGTCACCATGTGGTCACCATAGGTCAGCGCCGCGGAGCTGGCCTCCGTGCTGCAGGATGGCGAGGGCTGGACGTCGCCGTTGCTGGCGCATCGCTTGGCGGAGGCGATTCTGCATCGACAGGCGAAGTGACTTGGTGAAAAGATGGCGTGGAGTATGTTGTTTGATTGATGTTTATTGTTGTTTTATTGTTGTCTTATTGGTTTACTGCTTTGTTGTTGATTTTTATGAAATTGTATTCATTTTTGTTGTTGATGTTCTATTCATTTGTATTTCATTTGTATGGTCTTTGTCGTTTTTTGCTTGAGTTGGATGATGTTGTTTTTCGTATATCATATATTTTTTGGATAGTGTTCCTATTTTGCTTGGAATTGTAGTATATGTCTTACTATTTTCTATTTGTTGTCTTTTTTTGGCGTACAGTAAATTGATATTAGATGATGGTGTCGAGGCTCTCTTTGTTATCTCAATTATTGGTAGCACTTGGGTATATTCTTGCATGATTTGTTTTTATCCTAATTCCACTTGCAATGGACAACTGAACAATATGGGTTGGATTATATTTTCCCAACCGGGAGTAAGGATGTGAAGATGTAAGGATGGTTGGTGTTCAAAGCCGCCATCCCCATCACTGAGGCTGGGCCCCTATCGTTCGACGCTGGAGTTGGCGGAGGTGATTTGCAGCGTCAAGGGCAGCGATGATCGGGGCTTCCATCCTGCGAAACAGGCGTTTCAAGCCATGAGGAGGTTTCTGAACCAGGACACGTCGGACACGTCGGACTGCCGCAGTGGCAGAATGAGATCTCCGAAAAGACAAGGAATAGGAATGAATAGGAGGTATTCCTAATAGTTTGGAATGAGATATGTGATAATATGGTATGTCCTAATACTTCTTTAAGATTTCATTCAGATAGTTCGAGTATGTTCGAGGTCTTTGTTTCTTCTGAATGAATGGAGTTTGAATCGTAAAGAAACTGTCGGAGATATTTGTTTTCAACAATGACTGGGTCTGAAATTTGAGCAACTTATGCTTCTTGAAAAACATAGCAATAGGCTGCATTTCGAACTTGATTGAACATCAACATCACACAACACACAAAGTGGTCTTGTGGATTCCGTTGTAGGTGTTTGATTCCTTGGGAAAGTGTTTCTAGCCGATTCCCATCCAGCTCCATTGAAAAGAGAATACATGGGCTGTAAGACTCACTGGCCAGCTGTAGGAAATTATTTGTTTGTCACCAAAATGTCATGGATCCCATCGGATGACGTGGATCAGGAGATTGGAGAGCTTGAAGAAGCCATGGAAAGCGCACTCTCTTCGTTGGCCGCTTGGGTTTTGAGCGAAGCAATTGTGTGGCCTCTTGATTGGTGGTTGATAATCACGATGGAATTACCGAGATTGGGAATGTATAAGATCAGGGATAGTTTGATCCATGCGATGCCTTGCTTCCTTTGACTGGGAAACTTCATGAAATGACTGTAGGGGACCCAAAAGGGATGCGCCCAGGAAATTTTACGGTGTGGACCCCAAAACGGCTAAGAGATCATGTTCTCTAATGTTTTATTGAGGTCCATGTTGGTTTGAACACCAAGGAAAATGGTGGCAGATTGATTGTCATCACAACGTGTCGCAAGGAGGCGGGGGGATCTCTTGGGCTGTTTGATGCGAGTAAGTTTTCCTCGTGGCGTGGTGCACCTCTATTGCCACCTCACCCAACCATTGGATCCCCAGTGTTGCCATGATTTCCAATCCATGTCGAGGAGTTCATCCCATCTTCACTCCAATATCTCTCTCATGTTTCGCTACATCATTTTCCAATTCGCATTCAACATCTTTTCTTGCGGGATAAACTATATCATACATCATATACATTCATATTACATACTATATCAATCTAATTATATCATACATCATATTACATCATCTTACTATAACCTCCCCACTTTTCCCCAAATTTCCACCGTTTTTTGGGCGCTTCCACTGCTTCCCACCATCCCCAGACCATCCCCAGAGATCCCCAGAGGCCTCGGCGGTGAAGCGCTTCCTGCGGCACCACGAGGCCCCGGACCTGCGCTTCGCGGAGTTCGTGACGCCGCAGCGGATGGTGGAGCTGTTTCCACTGGCCGGGACCACCCTGGGCTACAGCGCCTTGGCGATGGATGAACTCAATCTCGGGATAATGTATATTTATGTATATTTGATATAGACCTTAGATAAGATACCCTACAAACCCGAAAGACCAGTTCAACCTGTCCACATTGGTTAAGAACAAGTTTAACTTGATCATTTGAAATTGCGCTCTCCGATCACATTTCTAAATCCTTCTAACCACTTGCTGTCAACACTTCAGCAACATCACTGTTTTAAATCTATCTTGAGAGAGACTTGGTTCATAGAGACATGCATATAGTGCTATGACAGACTGCATTTGATATTGGGAACCTGCAAAAAGATGGAAACCATTTGCCCGTTAATGCATGTTCATTGAGCGTCCCCGGATCATTCACGGGTGCTTCACGGATGCTTCACGGGTGCTTCACGGGTGTTTCACGGGTCGTTCACGGTACGAAATCATTTTTTCGGGTCTCTAACCCAGTTTTTTGTGTCTCTAACACACTGGTCTCACGGGTGGTTCACGGGTTGTTCCCGGATGGTTCAAGGGTGTTTCACGGCTTGTTTCGGGTTGTTGACGGGACGTTCACGGGCTGTGGGCAGCTGTAAAGGGCGATTGCAAACAATGAAATTGATATAAATTGATACCAAGAGCCCTGGAACTCAACCAGTTGGGAGAATGATTTGCAGTGATTTGTCGATAGAACGCATTTGTCCACTGCATCAACGGAGCTTTGGTAAAAATTAGCTCAAGTAAAGTACGTTCTTTTACAAGTAAAACATGTTTATTGAAACGATCAAGTTTAACGAGGCCTTTGGTTCGCAGGGATAGGATATATACAGGTTGGTTTTTGGAAATTATATAACGATAAATCTCCACATCATCCCATGGCATCCGAGGCTGCCGGCAGTTGTGTGACCCTATCAGAGCTTCGGCTGCTGAGTTGGCACGGAATCCCAGGGCCAAAGTGGCCTTGCTACACGTCTTGCAAAAGGAAGAACGATCGCTGCAGAGTTGTGAGGAATCCTGGTTTTGATTGAGGGGGTTGGTTGGAAAGTTTACAAAGTAAAGGAAACCAATGGAAACCATGGTCAACTTGCTCTAGACTCTAGTAATTCAATATGGGAGGTGAAGTGTATACGTTCCATTCATGAAATCCAGGGATGTTTTGAAGCTGAACCTGTCATTTTCTGGTTCCCTTTTCTGAAACTCCAAGATGATTTGAGATGATTTGTTTGATTTTTACCAAAACAATGGCAAAAACCTTGCAATCACCAGGGATTTGGTTCACAATTGGAAGACTTCCTGCTGTTTTGCTGGTCCCTCTTGGTGCATTTTGGTGCACCTTCAAGGACCGGGGGTTGATCGGCTTGGTCCCTCGACCTTTGACTTCGCAGTTCCGAACACCTGCCGCATTGCCCCTCCATGCGCCGGATGACCTTGCGCGCAATGGCTGAGATGAGGGTTGGGTTGCTGATCCCCAACTTCGCAACTGACTGGCACATGAGTTGATTTCCTGGCCTCGATAGTTGCTGGGAGCACTGGTAAGCGACATGTGCTGATGAAGCCATGAACGGCTATGGAAGCTGATTTTGCGAAGGAAAAGTTTGGATGAACAGAGACGATCGAGACCTTGAACGTCCGCATGAGTTGAATAGCAATCACTGCTGGAGAGAGTGCCTTGGGAATCTGTCAATTATTGGAACCAGTGTTGACTTGCGGTGTTCAAACTGCAGGCTGCAGCCTTCAAAGAATGGCAGGCTGTTCTTCTGCAATGCCAGAAGTGAGCGCATATCCATGCACTTGATTAATTCTGCCAAAAGGTTGCAGCACACATGAAGATCTTCCGGAAGGCAATATGAACCAATTGCTCCCAATTGCTCTAAAGGCAAAAACAATTCCCAACACGTCACGGCCTTCACGGCCTTCATGAGATGGGGTAAGCCATGCCTGGTCATGTTGCACCCTGAGGTCCCGAGCCTCAGACGGTCTAAGCCAGTGGATGTTCAATGACCTTCCCGAAAGTGTGTCCTTTTAAGCCACAGCATCTATTCAGTATATGAATGGCTGCTTCAAAGCTTCTTTGTACTTTGTTTTTTACAGGTACATTTAGAGATTTATCACTATGGACGTGCATTCCTCGTGGCCTGCTAGAATGGGTCATCAGGATTCTGGAAAATGCTATTGATTTCACTGATGCAGAGCAAGAGCATCAAGTAAATTGCGCAGATTGATGCAGTAAACATCCCATTCGATTCTCGTGATTTGCAATATTTTGTAATGCAAGCAAGGGTGCCAGGGCGAAATGAAGAAGCAACCCTCTCCATCTCTTGGTCAGTACATTCCCATGTTTTCCTGGGATAATTGACTGTCATACTATATCATACATCTGGATACATCCATGTTGCACCAAAATGGCAAATGGCAAACATGGTGCATAGTTCCCAAAGATTCCTTTAAGATCGTTTCCCAATTTGGACAGTTCATTGGATCTAGAAGTCCCCCATGGAGCCACAGATCTCCGGATCTCCATGATTTCATGTCATCCTCCGTTCCGAGTCGCAGGCGCAAGTGCCTTTCCTGAAGGATTCCATGAGTCGCCTGGTGACCCTGACCTTCACCACCAAGGTGCCGAAGGGTGTTGTCTCAACCTGCCATAGCCATAGCCATCCTCTCACAAGTTAAATCATTTGAGGCTTCCGGTCCTGTAACTTTGATTTATCTCTCTACATTCAATTCTTGTTGAGAGATTCTCCAATAAAGGTCCCCCTTTGCCTTTGGTCGCAGACTGATAGTCTTTCCGGGGTCGCGTCAAGAAGAACCGATTGCCCAGGAGCAAAAATTCGTGACAAAGGTGACCAAAGCTGTCTTGAAGATGTCGCCCGGTTCGAGGTTCATCACAGATGCACAGAATGTGCTCAAGGATATGCTCCCGAATTACTGGTATTTGATGTTGAGGTGCGGTCTGTCATTTTTGGGGAACCTCAGCCAAACTGAAGTGCTCAGCTTATGATTTTGCGACGGATACAAGTCCAATGCAATCACCTCAAAATCACATGGACTTTGCCCTCATGGTTGAAAAAAGGGGACCACATCAAAAAAATCGACCAATCTACCTCTTTCCCATCGTTGAGGCACCATGTTTATAGAATATCTAGCATTTTCCCAGTATTTTCACCACTTTTTCTACATTTTTTCTACCATTTTCTCAAGCTCCTTTGGTGAAACCAATCATCTCTTCACCCGATCCAAGGCCGAAAGCCTCGTGGGTAGAATGGCATCGGTGCCCAGTAACTGGTGACTTTTGATACCCGGTAAACATACCAAAAGACTTCGAATAACCATTGCTGCCCTAGGAAAATGCTCCACCAATGGTGGATTTTCCACATTTTGGGTTATGGGGGTGCCCGTCAGTTTTTGCCGAGTTATCACGCCTCGAGACACCTTGTCTTGGGGTCATTGTTGATAGTTACGACAGAAGCACTTGGCTTGAATTGGCTTGATGTCCTTTATAGAAGTACAGCATGACCAGGAGGGTAGTTTTTGCAGGAAGGGCCTAACATTTCCGCACCTGCCAGGTGAGGGTCTCTAGATTTAACCTCGGTGCAGCCTTCTTCCTCCTCCTCCTCCTCCTTGTCCTCATCTCCGCCTCCTCTCTCTCTAAGCTGGACGATCTCATATGATCTCTATCAAGCGAGCTCCGGATGCTGTGGAGGGTGCCTGGACCCGAACTCATACCAGAGAGAAGACCAGATAGAATGTCAGAAAAGATGCCAGATAGAATGCCAGAAAGAATGTCAGATAATGTGCCATAAATACTTCCAGATGGTATGTCAGAAATTATGTCAGGATAGTGTCTCAGGGTGGGGACCCCTCGAAGAAGGTAATTCTTAGTGTCTGAACTTTTTTCTGGTATGTGCTTTTATTACGAAAGCCAGCTAGCTGGCTAGTTGCTGTTTGCGAACGAAGTGAGAATAGGGGGTGTGGGGGGGGGTGGTTGCCGAAAGGGAACGAAATCTCGCCGTGCCCCTGTGTTGAGCGCCAGAAAACGGAGCATTTTGCTGGATTATGTACCACTAGGCAATTTGCTGACGGTGGGGTATCGATTCCCCCTAGGTCCGCCTTTTTGGTGGCCGGAGAGACCATGAGGATGTATTGGAAAATACAATGAAACTGCAGGAAAACATGATAACGATCAGAGGAAATCGTACAAAATCCCCTGGAAAACGGACGAAAACGGAGCGAATGCTAGGAACAAACCGTGGAAAATCCCTTGGAAAATGGAGGAAACCGGAGCGAATGCTAGGCGCAAACCGTGACGATACAGTAAACATGCTGGAAAAATACAGTGAAAGTGCAGGAAAATGTGATAACAACGAGAGGAAATGGTGCAAAAAGGATCGGAAAATACAATGAAACTTGAGGAAAACATGATAACGATCAGAGGAAAATGCTAGGAACAAACCATGCAAAATCTGTTGGAACATGGAGGAAACCGGAGTGGCTGCTAGGAACAAACTATGACGATGCAGTAAACATGTTGGAAAAAGACAGTGAAAGTGCAGGAAAATGCGATAACAACCAGGGAAATGGTGCAAAAACGATCGGAAAATGAAGGAGACGGGTAAAACTCTTGGAAAAAATACATTGAAAATGCAGCAAACCAGAGGAAATGGTGCAAAAAGGAGACGGGTAAAAATCTTGGAAAAATAGATTAAAAATGCATGAATAGACTGAAAACCCACGAAGAGGATATAGAAACTGCAGGAAAACATGATAACAATCAGAGGAAATCGTGCAAAATCCACTGGAAAATGCTGGAAAGATACAGTGAAGGAAAATGTGATAACAACCTGGCAGGAAAATGTGATAACAACCAGAATAAAGGGTTTAAAATCTGTTGGAACATGGAGGAAACCGGAGCGACTGCTAGGAACAAACTATGACGATGCAGTAAACATGCTGGGAAAATACAGTGAAAGTGCAGGAAAATGCGATAACAACCAGAGGAAATGGTGCAAAAACGATCGGAAACTGAAGGAGACGGGTAAAACTCTTGGAAAAATATATTGAAAATGCATGAAATGCAGGAAACGAGAGGAAATGGTACAAAAAGCCATAGAGGAAAGCGGTGAAAATGGTAGGAAGCATGTAATAAAAAAAGCTGGACAAAACACAATGAAAACCTACAAAAGAGAAGAAAGTAACCACAGGAAACGGTAGAAAAAGCAGTGGAAACTGGAAGAAAAGTTGTGACAATATTAGGAAAACGGTGTACAAGCTAGGAAATGCTTGGAACAACTAGAGGAAACGATGTAGAAAACAGTACAACATGGAGGACACGCGTGAACATGCTAGGAGGCATGTAACATGTTAGAAAAATACAGTGAAAACCTAGGAAAATGTTATAACTAAAAAATGCTTTAAAAAATATAGTGAAAACCAAGACAATGTCAACGAGCGGAAACGTTGAGCAGGAAATCCGATTTGGTTTCTGTAGATAATGTTAGATGATGAGCAATGTAGTTTGGTGATAGGAAATAGTGGCTGACTCGCGTACAAGACATTGCCATGAAACCTTGGAGCAAGATGCGGATGGTATAGGAAAAAAGATGTATGAGTTGTAAGATTTTAGGAGTTGCATGGGAAAATTGGTTTCATGGTAATCTGTGTGAAGTTAGAAAAGTGTGATTTCGTTCACAGAGTAAGAAAAATAAATACAATCTGCAGATTAGAGTATTTATAATGCTTAAAGCTGTTTGACGTTTTTTGGTGCCTCCCTGATTCTGGTAGTTTTGTGATAAGAACTACAAAAACGATCTACTGGTAAACGGAAGGAATAGTCTTTCCGGTTTAGAACTGAGTCGACTGTCAAGTGATGCATAGGCTCCAGGCCTCTGGTTATTGTCACAAAGCATTGGAATGAAGATTGCGCCCAGGAGCCACCTAGGTTAGGAGACAAATGCTGTAATATCATTGTAAGAGGCCGTACTGAGAAGGCTGAAACAGAACTAAAAGTGAATCTTGTACTAAAACATCGAGAAAGAATTTGAATCTTCTAATGGCAATGACGTGTGCCTTTTAAAAGGGATGTTTGGCGAGTGTGATAGCTGAGAAGATTTTCCGGGATGCCAAACAATTATCTCTATCGATGTCAGGGATGATGCTATTCCGCGACATTTCCTGTAAAATACCTATTTTCCAGACCCTTGGGGGGTGGGGGGGGGTACCCAGGTCTGTAAATGGCCTAAATATATATACTTTTGATTTGGACTGCATGTTCGCCACTGTTCTATATTTCCCGTGGGTTTTGCATTGTTTTCCTCGATTTTCATTCGTTCTTATACCCTTTCTTACGTATGTTATAATATTGTCTTGGGTTTGCACTGCCCATTTTGCGAGTAGAGCTATGTTTTGATTTCTCACCGTACGGCCAAAATGTTGCGGAACTTCGCGGAGAAGCATGGACCACGCTGGGGAGAAAACAATTTAGACTTTGAGAGGTCACATGACCACTGTTCACACAAAAAAACGGGTATTATTTATCTACAATAGGTGGGAGCAAACTTGCGCTGTTTTAAGATAAATGAGCAACCAAAGGCGGATTTACGGAACTTGAGATAGAACTTTTCACAATGCCGCAGTACATTGTAGGAAACATATTGGATATAGAAGTTACAAAATCGTGGAGTTTACCCTAAAAAGGTCCATTTAATGATTGGAAAATTATGACCCGATAGCAATTGTTGATGTTGGGGCGCTTCATGTTTGAGCCATGCCATATGGATGAGGTGGAGTTTCAGTTTCACGCGCCCCCGCGCGAGTCAAAAAGCAAGCGCTGGCTTTCGTTCCACCCCTTCTCAGGTTCTAACTACGGCTTGTCGTTTTTGTCACAGCGATTTTGTGGGGGCATCGGTTCATGGAGCAAATTCTAACTTTGTTTGGTCCTATAGATGTACTGCTTTCACACAGTAATCTCCGGCCATGTAAGGTCCTCTGCCAAAAAGCCTGGATGACCCTGAAATCCAAAACGATGATCGCCAAAGAAAGGGACAACCTTGACAACCTAATAGCGATCAGAAAGTATGCAATTGGAATACTGAAGAGCTGGAAGTACTGAACATCTTTTCTATTCTTTTCTGAAGCCATTTCTGAATGGTGAGTTTCCGATGCAATATGCGTGGATGGTCACACCAAACCTGTCAATTTTGTTGCGGAAAATCTCATGGTTGGTTTCACCCACATTTCCAATTTTTAGATAGGCAAATGAATCATATGAATCCCATTGAATCCCCATTCAAATATGTATTCTTATAGTGAAAACATGCCAGAAATGGGCCAGAAAGATCACTTATTCCCATGTTTTCCGGGGCCCTTGTTCAGATGACCCAGGAAGCAGCATCGTTTGCGCCTCTGGCGAGCCTCCAAGGCACCAACTGTGGATGGTTTGATCATCTTTGATCCATAGAAAACCAGTATATCTGCATAATCCACCTACTGTATGCAAAAATATGCAAAAATTATCCCTCGAAATTCGAACCAGCAATAATTGTCGCCGGTTGCCCAGAATTTCGCCGTTTCCAGTTTGTTTCGCCGTTTCAGTGTCCATATATTTTGGGTTCGCTGTTGCGTGGGTTTTTGTTCGCCGTTTCAAAGCCGGCAAACACATGCAAAAGCAGAAGTATACAAAAGTTGCTCGGAGGCAGGGAAACATGCCGCCAGCAATAATTCCTGAAAAGGCAATGTTACAGACATTGGAAGATGCAGGTATAGTTTTCTGGTGATGTAACCAACTTAATTCATTACTCGGGACGGTTGAAAAAAACCAAAGAACTAGTAAATCCCAAATTTGATGAAATAACTAACTTGATGGGTCAGTGAATTTATAATTGTAACAAATCTCATCAGATTTAATTGGATTGTGTTTTTACCAGAATCATATTATGATTGATATTTTGATGGAAAACAACCACCAGCAAACCAATTTGATGATTTTGGCAAAATTTCGCTAAGAACGAGTGGGGAGATTCACGAGACGAAATGTGGAATATCAGTTGCATGATGCTTGTTGGATAGAGACACTGATAATTACTTCATTTGGCGCAACCGATTGCCAGAAGAAGTAAACACATAGCCATTTTCACCGGGAGCATGGTCTATAAATTGTGCACGTTTTGTTTCGCGTACCATGGTGCTTGTTTCAAATAGAGCAGAAATTCCAGAAAGATACGCAAGTTGGAGCACAACCAACAACTTTTCGAGTAACATCTGAAAATTAGAAAGTTGATATATTACCTGATGCAACCTTGTTCATTCAATCACAATCATGGCATACTGAAGTAGTTGGCACGAGAGGATCGTTGACATTTTCTTGGGTGGCTATCATTGACACATCGCTATCTCACTAACAGACCAATGTTACCAATATGTTACCAATACACCCAGATGAAAGAAAGGATTTCACGGATAGGCGGGCTATCTTTAGAATGGTCCTGTCTTATCAAGAATCCACTCTTGGATAGACGCCATTGGTGATGTTTGAGCAACAGACAGTGTTGAGACTTGGAACAATTTGGAACATCCAATGAAAGAACAGCCAAATGTCCATACGCAACAGGAGTGCTAGCATGTTCAAGCTGTCAAATGCTACTTTCTTTGGGTTTCATTTTCTGGGTTCTAACCTTCGCATTGCTAAAACTCGGATGATTGGCTCCCAGCAGCGCCGCTTGAGGTGTGGGGAGGCAAAGATGAAGACGATAAAGATGACGATGAGAAGAAGGATGACAAAGACAAGAAGGCAACGGGTTGCTGTTGTCTGTCATCAGGTGTATATATTGCCACGAGTGTCGCCTGCTTTGCAGTCTCACGAGTTTGTGCACACACTGTGGCCTTTTAGCTTCAAAGTTGAGGGTGGCCTGCGGGCCGGGCACGGGTGGCCCGCGGGCCAGAATCGGGAAGGGGGGCACGACCTGCGGGTTTGACTGGCCCCCCATGCCCGGATTGTGGGTTCACCTCTATGAGAACCCGGACTTTTTCAAAAGCTTCGAGGTCGAGAGGGGAGCCTACATCGAGGCAGTGCTGTATGACGAGCGTCATGGTGAACAGGGTAAAGGCCTCTGGCGAGTCAGCGGTATGGACCAGAAAACAAAGGATGGACTCTGGGTGTCGGCCAAGCTGATTGCCGTCAGTGATGCACATCTCTTCTGGTGGTTGACCGAGGGCCCTGGCGAGGCAATGAAAAGGGCTTTCAAACTCCATCTTTGTGTCACGCCTGAGAAGGAGTGCCCGAAGTGCAAGAAAAAGAAGGACAATGAGTTCCATACGGACTATTTCCGCTCCGTTGATGCGGGAGACGTAGTTGATGGCAAGGTGAGCTGGTTCAAAACACCGCCGGCCAAGGATGATGTTGAAACGGAGGTGGCAAAGCTCACTGGCAACGCCCCGCGGGGTAGGACACGAAAGAGCCGCGCACCAGCAGCTGGACATGATACAGGCCTGGATTGGGAAATGTCAGACTCTGACCCCATGGATGCTTTGGACACTGATGAGGGTGGCGGCGTTGACAAAAAGCTAGCTGCCCTGAAGCGCCAAACAATTGGTGAGCCCGACCGCGGTCGAGAAAAAGAGAAGAAAAAGAAGAAGAAGGACAAGGACTCCAAGAAGGAGGCAAGGTCAGATAAGTCCCGCCGTCGAGATCGCAGAAGCGGGTCGCAGGATCGAGACAAGAAGGATCCGCTATGGTTTGGGCAGAGGAAAGCTGATGCTCCTCGCCGACGACGCAGTGATGACTCTTCTTCTCAGATTGGCTCTGGAAGCCGCAAGAACCGGAAGAAGCGCCGCTCCCGCTCTCCGAGTGAGAAGCGTCGGGAGAAGAAGCGCCGCAAGGTTGACAACGCTGATCGAGGCCCCTATGGGGTGGGCCAGAAGCAGCGCTATGATGGCCGCAGTGCCTCAAGTGCCACGTCAGATCGTGATGAAGATCAAGACGAGTCAGTTTTTCGCGCGGGGCCCTCCGGCACGTCGAAGCATCTACAACTCCAGGAGTACGCGGAGAAGAAGCCAGGCCGTCTCACGGCCCGCCTGCTCCGAAAGATGCAGACGATCCTCTCCCGGTCGGAGGAGGGCCCCGCAAGCCTGACTGGGCAAAATCTCACACCGCCGGCAGCCACGGCGTACTACCTGACAGTGCTGGTGCCGCAGTACAAGGAAAGGATGAATGTTCGAACCAGCCGCGAGCTGAGGTCCATAGCAAAAGCCATCGATCTACTCGCTCAAGGGAAGCCCGATCGCGCAGGAGACGTGCTCAGTCAGCGATACAAGGCGCTGGAGCTTTACCTGTCGGACCTGACGTGGGCGAGAGCGCAATTCCTGGAGTTGATCCCAGCGGAGGGAGCATCCCTTGTCGAGAAGGACGAAGTCATGATGGCCTCGAAGGAGCAGACCGCCGAGCATCGCATGCGGGTAACCCTGGCTCAGCCCACGTGGAGACCGAGCACAAAGGGGGACGGGAAGTCCGAGGAGAAAGGGAAGACGAAAGGAAAAGGAAAAGGCAAGAAGGGCCGCGGCCTGGGTCAACCATGGAATCACCCGGCGGAAGCCGAGAAGCCGCCAGTGGCATGATGACTCAAGAGTCAGCCCCCAAGGAGGGCACGGGCCTGGCTGCGGCCAAGTCGAAGCCAAATAGGCCAAGGAGCCCCCTTGCGAAGAGACGCAAAAGAATGGCACCGCCCGTGGGCGTGACAGCCAGTGAAGGTAACCTCGAACCGGAGATCCCCCTTGAGCTGTCTGAAAGAAGTGACGGCTGCCCGGTCAATCTCCTGAAACTTGAAGTCCGGGTGGCTGATGACCTGCAAGATTGGGCGAGTCATGTGAAGGACCTCTTCAAGTTGAGGGCGACGTTTGCCGACCTGGGACGCCATCTGCTCGGATTGATGTCTTCGATGCCCTCTCCTCTCGGGAACTTCGTTCGCTCGCATTGCTTGGCTGCACAACCCCCCACCGCCAAGGGGAGCAGGGCGGAGGAGGCTCATGGGGACTTGCTACCCAGCGCAGTGTGGCGCATATCAACCCAGATTGGCACGGTCAACGACAACAATATTGATTGGGTCAAAGCAGTGATCTGCTGCCTGAACTTTCATTATTGTGCTGGTTGGTCAAAGCCCATATGTGTCCCCATCCGGGACGCATTGTCAAACCTCCAGGAACAGGCCATCAACAGGTTGGCTGCTACGATCGATTCGAACATCATGACTGCGGACCAGTTGTCAACCTTGGGGGAATGCGATAAGCTGCTCTCGTCCAAAAAGTATGACTATGCGGGAGTACATGGAGGACCTGCAGTGTGAGAAGGTTCTCATGGCCTGGCCAGAAGTGGGTCAGGCCGCCATCCAACCCATTGAGGGATTCCTGACACCGGAGACCAAGCAGCTGCTGGAGGACCCCATGAGGCTGCTGCTGCCCAAGGAGAAGATGCCTACCAATGCACCAAGGTCGAGGGTCAGGGCATCTGATCAGGAATGGCACCAGATCGTCAATGCCGCCTGGAGGCGTGGTATGATGCGCCCAGTGGATGACTCCTGCGTCCCGCGGGACAGATCAGGACACCTCATCACCAATGGGGCAGGCGCAGTATTCAAGGAGAAGATGATTGATGGTCGCCAGGTTGCCTGCCAAAGGTTCATCTCGATCCTGTGCCCGATCAATGCGGTGACCACGCCCATAGTGGGCTCACAGGAGACACTGCCTTACATCGGACAGCTCACAGGCATCATGTTGGAGGAGGATGAGTCCCTCTATCTGGAATCTGAGGACCTGCAATCAGCATTCAACCTTTTCGCTGTCCCGGAGCAATGGCTGGGATTCTTTAGTTACAGTAAGAAGGTTGATGGATCTGCAATGGGGCTGCCCCCGGGAACACAAGTTAGACCAGCCCTATCTGTGATTCCGATGGGATGGCACAGTGCTGTCGGGCTGGTACAGGAAGCAGTCAGGGATCTGGTGTTCAACCGAGCCGGGGTACCGAGGACGCTCTCCGCGGAGAAGAATCGTCCCCTTCCACCTGGGAAGAGCTACGCAGTGGTATACCTCGACAACTTCGATGAAATCGAGATCATCAAGTCAGTGGACGTGGAGCTCAGCCAAGAGGGAGTTGTCATGTCTGAGCACCACCGCAACTTCAACTCAGCCTGTGATGCGGCGGGTTTGCCCCGCAACAGGGCAAAGCAGTTGGTTCATGCGTTTGCCGGGGGCATGCAAGGTGGAGAATTTGATGGGCGCAGAGGTATCTTAAAACTGGGTAGTGACAAGCTGCGAAACTACCTTCAACTGAGCTTGGCGCTGTTGGCGCGCAGAACATGGAACGAGTTCCACCTCCGGCACTGGACCGGGAAGACGGCTTTCTTGGCCACTTTTCGGCGCTCACTGTTCTCAGGTATGGGGTGTATCTTCGACCTGATTGAGCGATCTCGCTCTGGTGACGTGATCCCCACGGTGGCTGCTGCTGATGAAATAGTCACCCTGGTGTGCCAGTCACCTTTGGCTCAGACAAACCTCAGGGCTATCCTGTCCACCGAAATCTCGTGCACGGATGCATCACCTTCAGGAGGCGGAAGCGGCGCGGCATCAAGTTTTGCCGAAGAGGCGCCGGGTGTTCCCGAGAAGCTCGCCTTTGACGGACGTTGTGGGCATTGTGCCGGGCCCCTGGACCGGGCATCTATCCCGGGTTACGACTGCCCGAACGACTGCGGCTTAGTCGCGTGCTGCGTGGATTGCATCTCTGCCCACCGGCACTCATGTGGCCGCGAACTCCTGGGTAAGGCCTGCTTTGGAGAACGCTTCTCGGGCCCAAATTGCCCGCTCACGAAGGCGGTGGCCCTGGAAGGCATTTTTGTCCAACCCCCACTTGACCGGCTGAGAGACGGGAACTGGGACTTCTTCAGCCCATCCGGGCGGGAATGCCTCGAGGGCATGGAGGACGACGGCCACCTGGCTGCATCGCATTGGGCACCCGAGTGCAAGACGTTCTCGGCCGCCAGGGGGAGGCCCATCTGGACAACATCAGGACGGTATGTGCAGGGGCCCCCCGCTCTGAGGAGCAGAGAGAAACCTTGGGGGTTCCCGCACTTGTCCAAAGAAAACCAAATCAAAGTGAGGCACGGAAACGCCATGGGGCGCCGGTCCATCCAAGGTGTCAAGGATGCCAATTTGCAGGGCCGTTTTGCGTCCCTGGAACACCCATGGTTCTCCCACCTTTGGTACACGCCCGAGGCAGAGGAACTTTGTGAGTTGCCTGGGGTATTCGTGACGTGCTTCAGCTTCTGTTGCTTCGGCGGCAGCCGAGTGAAATGGACAGCGCTGGTGCACAATATCCCGGAAGTTCATCGAGCGCTGCACAAGCCGGACTGTCCGGGGCATCGGGGACTGCTCCCGTATGAATGTCATGATGAAGATGGAACGTTGACTTTCGACACCGCGAGTGAAGCAGAGTACCCATGGCAATGGTGCCAGGCCTATGCACGGGGGTTGAAAGCACAGCTCAAGTTACTGAACCCCTCGCCCTCGGCCTGCATCTTGGACGAAGAAGGAGCCATCATGTCAGCCCTGCGTTCATCGACCAGAGGCTTTCAGAACCCAAGACTAGCCTCAGAAGCGGCCCGCAAGATCATGGAGGTGTTGGGCAGCATGACCCCTGGGAAGGAGAAGGAGCACTTGAAATTGATGCTCCGCCATGTGTGCCTGCGAGGGACTGACATCAAGTTGATGTCCACCGCCGAGTCAGGGAGCCAGAGTGTGATGTGCCCCTATCCGGCCTTCAAGTGGGCATGGAAGGTCCGCTTATCTTTTGCCTGGCGACAGGAGCAACACATCAATGTCCTTGAAGTGTCCGCCTTCCTGGTCGAGTTCCGTCGCCGCACTCGACAAATCCACCAATTGGGAACCCGGTTCTTCAACATCACCGACTCCCAAGTTATGTTTCACTGCCTGAGCAAAGGGAGGAGCAGCTCCCCCAGACTGAACCGCCTTTTGCGGAGAGTGAACGCGCTGAGCCTGATGGGAGATGTCCTGCCAGTCCACCTATGGACCATTAGCAAGTGGAACTTCGCCGACAAGCCCAGTCGGCGCTTCGAGACATGACGAGAGCTAAGCACCTCAAGACAGCAGGAATCTCCAAAAGAACATTGGGCATCTACAAGCGCGAAGTTTCACAATTTTTTCAACATTTGGATCGAGAGGGGATCCGTTTGCCAAGGTCCTATGGCAAACTTGACCAGCTGTTAGCTGACTACATCAATCACCTCTACCAAGAGGGCGAGACCCTCACCAAAGCTGGATGGATTCTCAGTGCTATGAAAAGGCTCTACCCGCGGGTACGCAAAGAGATTCCCATCGCGCAGCAATGGTACAATAATTGGTGCCGTGAGCATACGCCTCGACGTGCAACTCCTCTTACTTGGGGTCTTTTGCAAGCTTTTGCTGGCCTATGTCTTCATCTCAATTGGAAGCGCCTGGCCTGCATCTTTTTGGTGGGTTTCGTTTTCTACCTCCGTACAGGGGAAGCGCTGAACCTGCACAGATCCGACATCCTGTGCAACTTGACTGATGGGTCCATCGTGATCCGCACAGCATCGTCTAAGACGCCAAGGAGTGACCAACAAAGCTTGGCGCATTTTGACCTGCAGCTTGCCCGCCTCCTTTCGGCGATTTTGAGTGACTTTGGCCCAGACGAAGAGCTGTGGCCATTCTCTATGGCTCACTTTCGCAATTGCTTCAGTGGCATCTGCTCCTTTTTTGACCTGCAACCACTCGGCTTTGTGCCGTACTCCATCCGAAGGGGTGGAGCTACCTTCTTTTACCTCAAGACCAACAGCCTGGATGCTGTTATGATCCGTGGCAGATGGCGCGAAGCCGCTACTGCCCGCATTTACCTTGACGATGCTCGTGCGACACTGGTCAAAATGGCCCTTCCACCGTGTTCCAAGCCTTTAATTCGGCGTTTCCGCCGGTTCCTCCTGGATTTTCTTTGTCGCTACGCAAGTGGTCAACAAAGGTTGGGGGGATGATGTTCTTACTTTGTTTTGGTTGGGAAATGTGGTGCTAGTGATTTCCTTTTGCTGTTGTTTTTCTCATTTCCTCCTGCGGGGGTGCCACCTGCGGGTGTGTGTGGTGTTGATTGTTTGGTTCTGTCGCACCACATCCTGACCTACTCTGGTTGTGCAGCCAAAAAGAGAAGGCGGCACGACCTTTGTGCGCACTGCCACGAGTGTCGCCTGCTTTGCAGTCTCACGAGTTTGTGCACACACTGTGGCCTTTTAGCTTCAAAGTTCCCCCCCACTGCCGCCCTGGCACGGGGAAATGTGGTGCTAGTGATTTCCTTTTGCTGTTGTTTTTCTCATTTCCTCCTGCGGGGGTGCCACCTGCGGGTGTGTGTGGTGTTGATTGTTTGGTTCTGTCGCACCACATCCTGACCTACTCTGGTTGTGCAGCCAAAAAGAGAAGGCGGCACGACCTTTGTGTGCACATATATATATATATACATAATATTGATATATATATATATATATAATATATTATGTATATGGATTATAATATATATGGTGCTTCATGGTGGTTGAGAGCTGGAGTTGATGCTGATTGCTGATTGCTAGTGGTTCATGGTTCATGCGGCCTACAATGGATGAGTTTCCGTCTTGGAGTCAAAGATTCACATGCCTGGACAGAACAAAACATGCATTTCTTGGACTTGTTTGGATTCCCAAGGATTATTGAAACAGATCAATCTCATACTGGCAGGCAATTTTGAATAAGTATGTCCATCCATTTCCATCCAAACACATGAGATGAAGGGACTGAGCCCCCTCTGAAGTTGGCTCAACCAGATAAGATGGGTTGTTCACCTACTGTTCACCTGCTGTTCACCTGAGGATGATGCGTGAAGACTCGAGGCTTTCGAGGCGAGGAATCCTGTCACCTGGTTTTCCCCCTTGATCTCCAGCGGCGTAGCGGATCGTAGTGTTGCTGGTTTGGAAAATAGTGATATTAATAGATATGAATAGTGGTTAATATAGGCTATAAACCAACAACAATGGGAATATGATGGTGATCTGGTTGGTGGTGACTGGAACATGGCTGGATTATGACTTTCCATACATTGGGAATGTCATAATCTCAACTGACGAACTCTGATTTTTTCAGAGGGGTAGGTCAACCACCAACCAGATAAGTTGTTGGTGATATGATATCCTTTCGAAACTGAGATGATCGATATAAAACTTTCAACCTGACGTAGTATGCTACTGATACTAGCGGCTAGCGATGGGTCCATCCAGCAGGACGCGTTCCTTCGTTCCAGTGCTTCCGTGCCATGTAAGTGTCCAAATCTGGTTTCCTTCATCTATTTCAGAAGGAATCCCATCGAAAGGTTGAATGACCAAATGTCCCTTTGGTATCTTTGGTAAACAAACATTGGTAAACAAACATGGCAATGGAAAATCTCATTTGAATGCCCAACTATATTTGGAGGATTGCCCATTGCCATGATTTCGACCATGGCACCATAGCACCGGATCCGCTTGCTGCTTCTGGGTGCAGGTTTCTCTTCCTCCAAAACCTCATCGGCTGTCGCAATTGCTCATTCACAGAAAGGTCCGTCATTTCCAATTCGCCGATTTTGGACGTTGCACCTCTGAGCGACGTCGAAAGCTGAACCGAGCTGTTGATTCGAAAGCGGAGATGAGACAAAGAAATTTTATCCGGGTACCCACCAGGAGTCAAAAATAGGTTTGCTTGAAAATAGATGAAAATATAGGGTAATTACCCAAAATCCATGGTTTATCATGGTTTATCAGGGTTTATCATAAAATTTCTTCAGTAACTCCCTAGCAAAAAGGCCTTTGGGGAGGTATACCCCTCCTTTTCAGACACACCCAAACGAAAACTGCATGGAAATCCACATTTTATGACAATCATCCACTGAAGGGAAATTTTCCATTGCCATGTCCGATGACTAGCAGGATGTGGTAGTTGGCTGACGGTTGAGCCCCGAAATCACGGTGCTTGACACGTGAAAACCAGGATCCAATTTTGTGTAAAGCTGTGTCCAAATATGTATTTGGATATATTTGGGGGGGTTCCATGTATAAATTGTTTGAATTCAATTGTCGGGAACTGGTCCTTAAAAAAAAAAACTTCACTACTTGGATTTGAATGTCGCGTCGCAGATGATTCCCTGATCACGGATTCCCAAACTTGATACCTGAAATTCCTGAAAGCCATGGACTGTTTGTGAGTTTGGATGCTACCATTTGCACCCAGTTTCAACTGGGGTCAAGGGACGCAAGGGACTGAGGCAAATGAAAACATCGAGGTTTTCTGATCATCCAAGGATCATTCCCCATCAACCTTCCAACCAATCCCCAATCCAATAGGCTAGCCACAAAACCATGATGGTGAGCTTCATGAGTTTCCACAGCCAGAATTGGTTGCTGCCCCTCCGGGCCCCATCCATCCTGTTGGAAATGTCATCATTGGAAAAACCCCAGGTCCGTAAAACATGGCTGAGTTTTTGGACCTAAGCTCCGTTGCCCATGATTCATGTTTTTTTCGACAGAGCTTGACACGTTTGCATGTGGCTCAAAAGCTGCGTTGTACCAAGAATGGAGGCAAATGAGAAGAGGCTCTGGGCCCAAAGTCAACACGTCAAGTGGTGAGTCAGAGATTATGATTTACCGCCCACCAATGGAGGTCTTTGCACAGAAATTGGAGACGTTAGAAATAGAAAATCTGGATAAAACAGGAAACATTTTTTTGCAAAAGGTGAAGAAATAAACTAAACGTTGCCTGTAGTCTTGCACGCCTACGGCAGTAAATAACCCCCAAGAGCCATATCAGAGCAAGACTTCCTCTTTAAGCAAAATGGAAGACGACACTTTAGTGAAGTGACAGAAATCTATCAAGTTTTGGTTTCATTTACGTAAGATTGATATAGATTGATTTGTTTGGAAGCCGTTTACTATATCTAAATTGCACCGGAGAATGCATGGTTTTCACAGTCGCAAGAGGTGTGTTGGCGACCGCCCACCAAAAATCCCTCACCGGACGGCCCCGGGAACACTTCCGGATGGATCGAACTTGCTGTCGACGGCGCATGGTTGCTTCTAAGCTGGGAAGCCTAGAGTTGGCCATAGCTGGTTGGTCAATGTTGCTGGTTGAGCAGTGGTCAAAATAGCTATTGAAAATGGCCATTGAAATAGTTGATTTACCCATTAAAAATGGTGATTTTCCATATATAGTTAAGTTAGTTTACCAGAGGGTAGTTAGATGGATTTGCTTGTCAAAGTTCATGGATTTCACCCCATGCTGAAACAATACCGCCATGATTTGGCGTGGAATTCCACAATAAATGGGCGAAAACTACCATTGCATTAGGCAAACATGTCCATGTCCTTATTCCTTGAATTTGGAAATGTACCATCAACTGGGGAAAATACAATTGTTTGGTAAACCCTAAACCCATTGGTTCAAGACTAAAAGAGAGTCTAACGGCGTGGATGGTTTGGGGGTGAATTACCACCATTTCAGGAAACTCCAATATTCTTTTGGAGTACCACACTATTTCAGGTGAATTACCATTATCTGGGGTGAATTGCCATGCGAATTACAACTATTTTTGATCTGGGGGGTGAATTGCCATATTCCCACTAAATTATGTGTGAATTACGCTTATTTTGAACCTTGGTTGAAAACCATTGACAACTGTTTGTGGTGAATTGCCAATGTAACTACCCGCCAATGTCCTCAAACATGGCTAGCTGGGAAATCCCCGAACTCAATGAACATTTTTTATTTTCCCATATTGGGGACAATCATCCCAACTGACTTTCATATTTTTCTAATATTTTTCAGAGGGGTAGGTATACCACCAACCAGTCACTATTTCACTGGGATGTTGCATAATTCTAATCTAACTAGAATCCCCATTAATCCTCAATACCCTCTATACCCTCTGGTAATAGTTGATTTACCCAGCTAGAAAATGGTGATTTTCCATATTTTTTTGTATGTTTAACATAGGGTATTTAGATGGAAAATCACCATGTTTAATAGATATGATATATCAACTATAAATACTAATTCTAATTCACCATTTTTAATGGGTAAATCAACTAATTATAGCTATAAATGGCCATTTTCAATAGGGTTTTGACATAACCAGAGGGTATTTAGATGCTATTTTCCAACACCCCATGCCGAAGGCGTGGATCCGGTGCCGACGTCTCGACGGTGGGCGCCACAGCCTCCTCGGAGGCCGCAAACCAAAAAAAAATAGATTATTCATTGAGTATTTATGATATATACAGATATATAGATATATGAGATACTGTATGTTTTTAGTTGCCCATTTTTTTTGTGTTTTTTGGTTTACCACAATTTTTACAACCAAAGAAGGAAGGATGTAGACAGTGCATGGGCACAATTGGTGTCTCATTTGGATCCGGGACATCCATCCAATCAAAGCACCAGGCCCCAGAATGGCCCGCTAAGAGGTGGGCGGATGGGGAGAAACCTGCGGGATCTTGGGATGATACAGCAAAATGCCCAGGTTCTTGTGGTTTTCAAGTTCCATGGGGTTCAGTAAATCTAAGTGCACAGAATTGATCAAAATCCAGTAAGGTTCAAGTAACCAAGCGGGGACCAGAAAGGCTTCACCACATGTTGAGGTCAAATTCAACAAAGAAAAACCTCCAAAACAGATCCCTGCAAAAAAACACTCCAGATGCCTGGCACGTTGACCGGAAACGGGTGCCTTTCAAACCTATCGGCCTCGGTAGGCGCAGCTGAAACTCAGCTCCAAAAATTGATACCCTCAGGTCATCAAATGTGGCACTTGGAAATCCTAATGATTATAAATGGAGGTTTATAGCTGAGAAAGTCACTGGACTTCATGCCCTGTTGTAGGCCTCGTGGACTGATCAACGGGGCAAAGGCCGGGGTCATTCATTGTGGTGTCGTGTGATTTCACCAAGGGAAAGGTAGCTCCCAACATGATCCCCTTATGAGCAATGCTAAGGATCAATCCAGGTATCATTGACCTCAGTTGTTGAGGTTTTATTGTTGCGATTCCCCAAACGCCGAAGCCCACCGCAACAAAGATGTTCAATATCGTCCCTGAAAATCTGGGACCGTCCTGTAATCTCCTGCCCTCGCTGAAAGATTCGCTGAAACCTTCTGCCATCCGGAAAAGTTGAGGAACAACATCCCAAAATCCAGATCCATGAAAAATATCAGGAACAAATCCATGAAAATATCAGGATGTTGTTCCTCAACCTACCCTGGTGCAGTTGGGTCCAATATATCGATGATTTTTCCATATGTTTCCCATGAATCCATGGACCTTTCCCCAGTATCCAACTGCACCAGGCCGACAGTGCTCAGGTGGGGAACCCACTGGGGCATGTGTTTGTTTCATCGTCTTTCAGGGGAATGAAAGAGAAAATGAAGTTCAAGTAGGTTTAAGTATGTTGCATTGAAGTATTAAGAGTTGAACTAGGAGGAAGTTCGTGTTTGCTATCCATGTCCTGCTGTATTTCAGAATTCAGCTCTTGGATGCTGAGTTTGTGACCTGTTCTTCATCAAACATTCTCATTTGAGCAGTGTTCAAAAGCTCCTATTGGTTGATGATTCTGGGGTTAATCTACTTGATATATTATATTGGACTATCACAATGCATGATCTGAGTTTCCTGTTCCTCATGGAATGACCGTTGCTCGTGATGTCAACTCTCAGACTTTGTTTCTGGTGCTACCAGGTCAAACATTAATCCCAACCCACAGAAAGAGCTGAATCCCAACTGTTTCTGTGTTTCTCTTGCATGAGTTGAATGTTCATCATTGATAGTGGTAGTTCTGCATGGTCAGATCCTCTGAATGGTCAGATTCCGATTCACAGTCATTTTTTCCATTCAAAATCAGGGATTCAAACCCCCATTATTGATCCCCCCCATTTAGGATTCCCATTGTTTCTTATTTTTCCTAATGCAGATCCCATTTTTTGCGATTAAACCCCCCATGATTCATTCGTAGGGCTATTGGTATCCCCATGACTGGGATGTCGTCAGGCTGGCGAGGAGCGAAACAGCGACGCTGCATCTTCCAGGGAAGAGCCGCGCGGTTGGTACGCGGCAATGTTTTTTTTGTGCCCAGAGAAAGTCGGGGATGTTCCCCCAAAAGTCAGAGTTGAACTAGCTAGAAAGTGCTAGAAATCAAGATTCCATGGAACTTAAAAAAGTGAACTTGAAGTTTCAGAATTGAAGATTGAGTGCGACGGAGGTGGAGAAAAGCAACAAATGTTTGTGCAACAAACATTGCAAACACCTCAATGTTCCATCCATGAGTTTAACATCTCAGCAAGCAAAAAGAGTCCAAACGGTTCTCACCATGATCCCTATGCATCCATAACATGCTGGAGGACCCCTGAAGTTTCTTGAAGTTTGTGGAGTAGCAAGGTTGTGGCTTAAGTTCCCCCCGCACGACCTTAGCGGGTCTTGTCACCCCGCGGGCCAGCCATAGCAACTACGAGCAGCAGCACTTAACTGGTACGCCCTGGTGCTTGCTCTCCGCAAAGTGCTCTGCTGGTGTGGCCTACCAGCATCACCGTTGCATCGCTTGGCCTTGTGTACAAGGGCACCTTTTTACAGTTGCTCTTTGGTTTCCTCCTGAACTATTTCTTGGGCAACCACGTGCATGAGCTATCTTCTGATCTTGATCTTTGTGCTTGTGATTTGCATTCATCATTCTTCCTTCGTTGCGGCGTCGATTGCGACGTCAGCGGGCAGCTGCTCGGCGTGCTTGGTTCTTACACAGAACCAACCAGGTGCCTCTGTCTGTCTTGCAGTTGAACAGGATATTGCACATTTTGCAGCGGCATCATTCCAAGGACGTGACCTTCATTGCCAGGATCAGGGACGCCATGGCGAATCGATCACAACCTTGGCATTGCAGCTGGTGCAAGAAGGATATCAAAGGAAGTTATTCCAATTGCGGTTTCTGTGGTGCTCACTGGACAGAGTGTCAATCGCAGACTCCACGCTCAGCGAGATCAGGAAAATCCCCAAGACGCCGACAACATGTCCAAGAATGGCCATACTCTGGCGATTGGGGGCAAGAGACTGGAGAGGGATATTACCAGAGTCCTTGGGCTGGCCATACGAGCTCAGCCAAGTCTCCCAGACGATTGCCGAAGAAGTCTCCTGCCCGACCAAATCAAGCCAAGAAAGACAAGCAGAAGAAGAGCTCAGCTCGAGATTTGCCACCAGAGGAACTAGAATGGGAATACAGTCAAGAAGGAGCTCCTGTCTCCACCAATGCCAGTGCTCCCAGTGCTGCAGAGCAGACATTGAAGGAACTGGCTTCTGCTGTCAAGCAGATGGAGCAGCCTCTTTCGGCAGATGTTCGAAGAGCTTTAGCCAATGCCCAGAAGGCAGTTGTCGTCGATCCGACGATCCAATTGCAGAGTGCAGCGGCGAAGTTGCGCAATGCCCGAGATCATCTATTACATGCACGTCGAGCCAGACAGAGTCTTCACAATTCATGGGCCAAATTCATCTCAGAAGCTGTTCAGCGGTGGAACAAGCATATGGAAGACTTCGAAGCTCGCGATGCAGACCACGTGCAGGCCATTCAGGAAGCCCTGGACAGGTACCAAGGCGCCAAAGAAGCCATGGAACAGTCCAAGGAGGCTGTCAGTGCCTGCGACATCAACCCTGTGGAAGTGAACGATCTCACGGAAGAAGAGCTCATGACCGATGTCACTCCGAGCATCCAAGACGATATGCGTGCCATGATACAGAACTTCGACAAGATCAAAGCCAGACAAGCCGAGACCCTTGCAGGAGCGGCTGTCAAGAAGGCCAGAACCGAATCAGGAGGAGATGCTCCTGGGGACAAGCCATCCTTTGGTGCACGAAGTTTGCAGCCTTTTGGAGGGGGGGGCACGTAGACTGTCAAGAGGCCTGCCAACCCCTGGTTTCTCCCATAGCAGTTTGTTCTGCTCAATGGACGCATAGCATTTTGGAGGAGCCGAATTTCACAGCTCCTTGGGCTGCCATTGAACGTGCCGTTGATCAGTGCATCGATGTCTATGGCATCATTGCTTGTTCCAGGCTTTTGGAAGGGTCCAATTGCCCATTTACTGATCCACGAGCGTCAAGCAAAGCTGCCCCTGTCATTCCGAAGAGAGTGACTTTCACAGCTCAAATTGAATTGCTCTTTGGGAGCGACTTTGACCCTCTATCTCATACAAAGATGACTCATGATGAGCTTCAAGCATGGCGAGGGAAACCCTGGACACTTCATGTGGCTCCGGTTGAGTCAGTTGTGGAACCGCTGTCATTAGTGGCCGTGTCGATCCCAACTGATTTCACCTGGGAAAATGTGTCCTGCGGCTTGATTTCAGCTCCTCATGACCTCGATGCGTGCCATACACAGACCGGCGCTGCATCAACTGATCCTACATTTGAGGCCATTCAGGAGGTCACAGACTCTGCCTTATATGACATGGACCAATCATGGCATTTGCAACTTCGAGTAGCATGGCGAGAGTTTGCCACAGTCAAGGACCCAGATGAAGGGCGCACGATGCCAGTGATTAGCTGGTATCTACATCATCATGATGCTCCTCGTTGCGCTTCATCAAGATCTCTGCAACTTGATCGCATGGATCACTTATGGCTTACAGACTTGAGAGAGCTTTGGGCTGATCACATCCGAGCTGGAGAAGTCTTGCACATCACAGGGGTGATTCCAACACCTCCAAGAGATGACAGTCAGCCATATGCTCCTCATGTTATCTTGACACAAGGGCTCCAGCCTGATCGTATCGGCACCATCATGACAGCTTGCTTCATCGAAGACCATCGTACGCAACTTTTACAAGAAGCAATTTCTTCGCCACCTATGATGAGTGGCACAAGAGCAGTTGACCTACTACGTGTAGATCATGTTGTACAAGGCCGTCGATGGGTAGCAAGGTCTGGAGTTCAATGGTTTGACAATCACGAATTAGAAGAAATTCCTGATGGCATCAGCATCACCGTTGACATTCGTGTGCCAAGTGATGAACCAGACGCCACATCTTTTGCAGCTTGGTCTCGAGCCAACTATCCTCCAGATCAACCTGTTTTCATGTTGCCACGAGTTGTTCAACCTGAAGGGCTTCCTCCAGATGACGTCACTGATGCGTCCAGCTCTGATGAAGATGAAACATCACCAGGAGTGGATTGGCGCTTTGTGCATATTTACCGCACTCGTCATCGAGTCCATCATGGACATTTACCATGGGATGATGCTTTTGAATTTCAACATCGTGTGTCACAGATCACTGGAGTTCATGAAGATGACATTGCGTTTTGCCATCATGTTGAGCACCCACCGCAAGATCTTCAAGCAGCCCATACAGAAGTTTTGTTGATGCAATCCGTGTCGGATCTAGCTATTGGCTCGATCCATAGGCTGGTCTTGGTTGACATTGAATTTCATGAACACCCACCAGCCACGGATCATTCTACTTCTCGGCGCTGCCTGTCTCTTCCTCATGTTACTCAACGACGATCGCTACTTCGTCTACTTGGGTTAGACATTTCCCTGAGCATCGCATATTGATTAGAATCAATATATTGATTTTGATGGGTTGAAAAATCAATATCAGATATTGATTTTTCAAATCAATATTTCAATGTAAAAAATGATGATTTTGACCATATGAAATCAAGAGAAAAATCGATATTTCAGGTGCTGCAAAACAAGCATTTTTCAAGGAACAGTCGAGATCTTTGCCTCTGGTCATGGGTGAAACATGATCATATAGAAAGGCTACTTTGGCCTTTTCCAAAGAGCTACATTTTCCAAAGCCTCCTTGGCCTTTTCCAAGGCTTCTTGGCCTTTTCCAATGCTTCTTGGCCTTTTCCAAGGCTTTTTGGCCTTTTCCAAGTCCAAAGCTTCCTTGGCCTTTTCCAAAGCTTAGCATTTTCCAATGTTTCTGGACTTTTTGCCATGCCTTTTCCAAAGCATATGTGCCTTTTGCCTTTTCCAAGGCATGGCAAGCCACTTGGGTTTGCCTTTTCCAAAGCAACATGCCAAAGCTGTTTCCAAAGCCACAGTGGCTACAATTATATAAGATGTCTTTTCCAAAACCCACATGCCTTTCCCAAAGCATGTGTGCCTTTTGCCTTTTCCAAGGCATGGCCAGCCACTTGGGTTTGCCTTTTCCAAAGCAAGTTGCTGCAACTTGGCTACCTCATCCCAGCCAAAGCCTTTCCCAAGGCCACATGAATTGAGACAGCAGGTCTTTTCCAAAACCCACAATTTTGCCCCAAATCATGTTTGCCTTTTGCTTTTTCCAAAGCATGCCAAGCTTTTCTGTGAAACACCTTTTCCAAAGTGCCACAGGCTAGGGCAAGCCATGCCAGGATACATGGAAGGTGGGCAGCCACAATCCTTCTAAGCCAGCTTGCTGGGCAATCTTTCTTAGCTGTCTGCAGAGCCAATAGAAATCTGTTGCAGCTTCAATTTGCCAATTGTAGCCCCCACCATAAGGTGACAAAGTGGCTGAAGTAATTGCAAATTCTTGCAATGTCCACTGCATGCTTTCATACAGCTTGCTGATTTTGATTCTCCCTTCATATTTAAATTTTCCAATTGTAACATGTGGAGAGATCAGCATTGGCAAGAATTCGCACTGAAACTCCAGCCCTATGTAGACCTCCTGGCCTGGCAACAGGTCGATCCACACAGAAAGACCTGTCACCTTCAGTGGTCTTTGGCACACTGCCAGCTGTGTGCTTCTATAATGCTGCTCTGGGGCAGCATATGCAGGAAGGGTCAGGATTTCCTCCCTGACTTCCTTCCTTAGGGCCTTCTCTGGTGCTGGGAGTGTGGACATTGCACACAAGCTTTTTCAAGCCCCAGCAACCAAGTCTTTTCCAAGACTATAGGCCCTGCACACAGAAAAAGTCTTTTCCAAGACTTGGCAGGCTAGCCTTTTCCAAGACCTTTAGGGAAACCCTTTTCCAGGGCAAGAGCCTTTTCCAAGACTTGGCAGGCTAGCCTTTTCCAAGACCTTTAGGGAAACCCTTTTCCAGGGCAAGAGCCTTTTCCAAGACTTGGCAGGCTAGCCTTTTCCAAGACCAGGGAGCCTCTTTCCAGGGCCAGGGCAGCAGAACTTTTCCAAGCTCACCAACAGCTCAGCTACTGCAAGAGGCTGATTGCTGTGTGTTGTTTTGTGTGGTGTGTTGTGTGTCAGTGTGTTGTTGTTACCAGTTTGTATGTTGTTGTGTTGTGCATGTTTGAAATTGAAGTTGTGTGTGCTGTGCGTGTTTGAAATTGAAGGTTCCAGACAAACTGAAGCCAACAGCTGCAGATGGTAGCAATGAGCTACATGGATGTTTTTGCCACCCCAATTGCTACATGTGTCATGCTTGGGGGTGGCAGCAGCCACACCTTTTTCCATACAAGCCAAAGCTGAGGCTGCCCAAAGGTCTTTGCCAAAGCTAGTGCCTATGGCCATGGGTTGCAAACTGGAGTCTTTGGGTTTAAAGATGCAACCCATGGCATTCCTACCATGCCTTTTCCAAGGCTCTTTGGCTGTGACCTTTTCCAAAGTCACTTTGCTTTTCTGTTCCCATCTGTGGAAGCATATAAGTCTTTCCCAAGACCTTGTGAATGTGATGTTTTCCAAAATCACTTTGCTTTTCTGCTTCCATGTGTGGAAATATATGTCTTTTCCAAGACCTTTTGGCACTGACCTTTTCCAAAATCAATTGCCTCTCCTGCTTCCAGCTGTGGACTGGGCTTTGCCACCAACACTCTTGAGCTCTTTGGTCTCATCTTTGGCTTCCTTGACAGTTTGGTCCACATCCATCAGCTTCTTCTTGATGGAAGCAGGATTGTTGTTCTTTCCAGACAACATGGCTTTCAGGTCACCAAGAGCTTTTCCAAGCTTCTTGAGAGCAGTCTCTGCAGATGCTCTGCCAGCCTTGTTCAGCTTGGACTTAGCCTTTTCCAAAGCCAGTTCCAAGTCTGACTGTGTGGATGCAACCATGTTCCTGGCTGTCTTGCAAGCTTTCAGTACCTTTTCCAAGGTATCCAGCTTGTCATCAGGAGTGTCCTGGTTGCTCTTGTTCTTGGTTTTGCCTTTTCCAAGGCCTTTGCCCTTCCCATAGCTCTTTCCAGAGCCCTTGCCCTTGGGATGATCATCCACCTCCAAGGAATGGCACTCTTTGGTGAAGAGATCCATGAACTTTTCCAAGTCCTCTTCCATTGGATCATACTCCACCCCACTCTGCCATTCCTTGGCCCTGTTGGTGGTGATCTCCCTTTGGAAGCACTGGGTGTCCTTATATTCATAAGCACCCCATGTGGAAGGGCACTCTCTCCAGACAACTCTTCCAGATTGCAGATGCAGGTCAAGTTCCTCTGGTGTGAACTTGGCCAGCATCTGCAGCTCTGTCTCCCAGTTGTCAGCCTTGGTGACCTTTTCTCCCACAGACACCTTTTTCAAGGCTGTCATGAATTGCTTGCCTTCCTTTTCCAAGAGATAGGCTGCAGCTGCAATGCCTTTGTCTTTCTTGGACAAGTCATTGTAAGCTGCCTGCTCCTGCTTGGAGCCATGCTTCAGAGCAGTCTGGTGTTTGCTCCAAGCCTTTGACTTCTCCAGCTTTGACATGCTGTCATGCAAGACAATGGCAGCTTCATTTGGGTCCTCAGCCCCTTCAGCTGCTGCCTTCATCTTGTCTTTCAAGCTCATCTGGCCTAACTTTTCCAAGCTGGCCTTGCTGAGCTTGCTAGCCTTTCCAGGCCTATTAGCCTTTCCAGGCTTGCTGGAGGAAGCCTTTGGTTTCTTCATAACTTTCTTTAGCTTTTCCAAGCCCTTAGGCTTTTCCAAGCCCTTTGCCTTCATGCCTTTCATGGCTTTCTTTGGTGCCATTGCTTTGTTTGTTTTGTTTTGCTTTGTGTGTTTTGTTTCAAATTGCTTAGCTAACTGCTACAAGACGTTTGAACCAAAACTGCCACATGCATCATGCATGCATGTTTTTTATATGTATATATATATATTTATTTATTTATTTACATAAATAAATATATATATATATACATATTCAAATACATATATACATAACTATATATACATACAGTTATATTCAAATACATATATATATATGTTTTGCAACCCATGTTATATCTCACCCCAAATCATTTAACACACCACACCCCAAACCATACAACATGTAATATAGATTTTTTAAACAAACCAAATGTTTCAACCACACCTGCATGTTTGATAATAAACTAGTGGAACAATATGTTATATTTGTTTTTTGTTTTTAATAAACACATGGACTTTTCCAAGTCCAAAAACATGTATGCGCTAAATTTGTTTATATGTTTATGTCTTCAAAAAATGTTTCCAATGACTAGTTTGCATTCTTTGAAAATATTAACAACATATATTGCATTTTCCAACATATTTTGTTGTTAGTGTAAAAGTGCTTTGAAAAAAAAAAATATATATATATATATAAAACATATATGTGCATATTTGAAACTAAAAAAACAAATGCAAAATATTTTTAAATGAAATGCATTGTGTTGAACAAACACCATTATTTTTGTTTTTATTTTTGAATCCAATGGACAATTCATGTCCTACAAATTTGTTAGCGCACAGATCAACCAATTAATTTTGTTTTCAAAAAAAACTACAAAAAAATAGACAAGTACAAATCTGATCAAATCTGATCAATTCTGATCAATTTTGATCAAATTTGATCAAATCTGATCAAAACTTGTTTTTGATCAAATTTGATCAGATTTGATCAAATTTGATCAGATTTGATCAGATTTGATCTGACTTATATTTTTTATTTTTTTTTGAAAAAAATATTTATCCAGTGGTTTTGTTCAAACCTGAAACCAACAGGTTTATGTTGTTGTTATTTTTCTTCTGGCATTTGCCTGGGTTGAGATTAAAGGGAATGTTTAATTTACTTTTAGTGCAAAAAAACATCAATATCGTTGCTTGATTTTTTTTAGATTGCAAATCAAATTTTGGTTGTGTGAATGTTTATGTGTTTTGTCCTGTTCAAATCAGACATGTTTGTTTTTTGAAGAAACTGTGTCAAATTGAATTTGATGGTCTCCAGAGTTTTAAAGTTACAGGTTTGGAAAAACCTGTGCTGTTATATTTTATTTTTACAGGTGAGTCTCACCAGATTTCATGCCAGCTTGGACCCAAGAAATTAATTTGCAAGAACATTGCAAAAACAAAACAAAACAATTGAGTTTTGGGCAGGTCTGTTTTGAATTTTACTTGGGCACTTCCATGCAGGCTTCAAAATTTTCAGGCTTTTCCAAGCCTGTGGTTTTTGTGCTGTCCCAGAGTTTAGTTTTGTCAAGTTCTTGACTGGCTCTACTTGTGTTTGCACCAAAAAAACAGAGCACAAGAAACACAAAAAACAAAACATTTTGAATAATCATGTGCAAAAATTCAGAACAAAAGAAAAAAACAAAATATCTTGAAGAAACATGTAAAGAATGTAAATGCATACATTGTGCATGAAACTGTATTTGTTTTATTTATATCTATATATTTAAATTCAAATATTGATATGTATATATATATATTTATTAAATATATATATATAAATATATAAACATCTTTCTAAACCATATATTTACTGCATATATTTTCTTAAAACATGCATGTATATATATATATATATTTCTTATTAAATTCACTTAACTATCCTTATATAATTATATAAATATATTTCTTATTAAATTCAATTAATTATATTTATATTATTTTTTAAATTTCATTTTTCATTATTTTTTAGTCTTTGGTGTAGCTGGTGTGTTACCAGCTACACCTTCAAAAACACAGCCTGTACAAGCTGACTGTACACTGTACACTGTACATGTGAAACATGGAAAAAAAAAGCACAAAAACAGCAACAGGCTTGGAAAAGCCTGTTGCTGCATGCATGAGTGGCTTTTCCAAGCCACTGCACCAGGCACTCTTGAGGCTGCATTTGAACAACAAACAAAGTAAAGTTGAAACTGTTTTGGTTTGTTGGTTGATTTTCTTTGCAGCCTCAAGAGTGCCTGGTGTTTCTATGGCTTTTCCAAGCCATTTGTGTAAGGTCTGCATTTCAGGGGCTGCATGTTTAGACCATAAACACCACAAACCATATAGAATGTTAATGATAAGGTTTGATTGTTTTTGGTTTCACAAAAATAAACTGTTTTAAAAACCAAACATGCAGCCCCATCCA